GCCGAAAACCTGATTCCCTCACTCTGATTCTCGAAATACCGGGAGGATATCTCAGTCTCTGTCGTTTGTTGTACCCTCGGGATTTGATTGTCGCAGCGAAGCGCGACGGGTATCGCCAGTAGTATAATGAGAATAATAGAGTAGGCGAGAGCGGGACGGGCTATCGTTGACACTAGATTATTGAAATCTCGGACCCCAGTCTGAACGCCTCCTCCATGATGCTATATCATGGTACTTATACCATGATATTAAGCATCGATTCCTCTTAGCTGCCGAAGTCAATCCGTAGCTCGAATGTTCTGCTTAGAAACTCCCCGAGTGCTTTCGAGAGATTCCATTTTCGGGGCGCTCGATCACTTGAAGCCGGCGCCCCGGAGCAAAACGAGAGAACACGCAGCGTGATACCCAGCTCTTGATGATGGAAGATTTTCGAAGGACCCCTCCGATGGCTCCCTTGGAATGCAGTGAAACACGTGATCGCAATCGTGCCGGCGCAGCGTGAAGATTTCGTGCGCCGTCCTCCTTCCTTTCGAAAGCCGAGAGGACCGGGGGCCTCCAGCAGATCAAGCATATCGAACGCCCTACTCTTTTCGCATTACAATCGATTCGATTGTCTGGGTGGAATCCATAGCATTACGGCGACCTCAGCACGGCTTGTCGCAGGCAATCGATGTATCGAGCTCAAGAGCTGAGGAGACGGAGTCCGAGGGTGAGTTTCTGAACCCCCACCCCCATTGCTCACAATCCTTTGGAGGACCAAACTTCCAAGTTATCGAGCGTCTTTGTTTGAGCGGAAAATTCCCGGGACGATGATTCGAAAGAAAGGTCCACACAATGAAATTCGATGGAATGGTCCGATGGAGAAATAGTTCCGCTCTCCGAGCGGCTTCAGCCTCGGTACGGTCTACCCATGACTCCATCCACCTCATCTCTGAGCGAGAGGTCCTCAGCCCGGCCTGCTTTTGCTAGATAGTATGTGCGGTTTTTTTCAAGGCGATGTTCCGTTGGGCACTCGTAGCCTCGAGACGACCTCGGATACCCTCTGCGCTCGCAGATTCGTTGCAAAATCCGGATCTCCGTAAGTATTCGAGGACGCGCAACCCTGTGATCGTTGAATGTATCCTCAGTCACAGGCCCACAGAATGGGGGCTGCGAGAGATTCGAGCTCCGAACTTCTGTTGACGAACGTGTGCTGCCTGCACTTCCCTCCCGCGTGAACAAACACAAAGAAGATACACTTTCCCGGGAAGCCTCCGAATCGACGGTGACGAGCGCACAGATCGTGCCATCACTCGTATCGACGGCCACGTTCAGTATGGGGAGCGCGCTAACGGTTCGGTATACGATCCTCAGCCATTCACGCTCTTCCAGAAGAGCCGCCCAGCCGGTCGGATTGCCGTCGATTCCTGACTGGTGTCGGAGGGAATCGTTTGAGAATTCAACCATTCGATCGACGTGTAGAATCCTAATGGAAAAAAAATCGTCCCCCGGCCAGTCGATATGCATTCGGGACCGATCGTCGACCGAACCTCGGGAACCTTTTCAGGGATGCGATTAGATTTGTTCGAAATGGCTCAGGACGGAGATTCGCCAGAGCGGGCAAATCGGCGTCGATGCAGAATCTCCGAAGGGATCAGAATAGCATCTCAGACGAATGTAAATCTGTGTCTGATGGCTTGATGTATGACGAACACCGTGTGGGGACACGGAATCCTTGTGTTTCAAAACAATGACATTGTCTCCCTCGGAATCTCTCTTGGAGAGCGTAGGCTCGGTGGGAAGTTACTCGATACGTATTCGATGGGAGACACGCCACATGTGGACTGTATGAAGCTATCATGGTTTTTTAGCGGGCAAAGTAAGCGTTGTGTAATGTTCCGCTGTTCACAGCCAAGTGTCTGAGTGAGGTGCGGGGTACACGCAACCTCATGAAGGTTAGGGTTCTCACGCGAGACGGTCTATGGCATCGAGATGAGTTCGTAACGTGCGAATTCACACGGGCCCCGATCGACAGACCCAGAGAAATCAATCGAGGTGTGCGTATCCACCGCGGGGTTTCTCTTGTCCTCGGGGCGACGGAGATGCGTCCCGTCCTATAACGGAATATTTCTGTCTGGCAACATTTATTTTTACGCGCTCCCCACGGTCTTCGATGCGTAGTCACCGAAAGCTTCGAGGTACACGGAAATCAGAGCTCCTCTATAGGTATGGGGAATGGGCAAATCGTTCTCGGTGCTTCCAAATGACCTACAGATCAGGATCGCGGTGATTGTCGGTGGAGATCGATCACCAGGAACATCGGGTACACCGGAAGCTGATAGATGACCGATCAGGCTCTCCCATCAGACTTCTCAGATCCAACGGCCTCGATGCTCACACGGCGCTCCAACTCTTCTCCTGGGCTCTGGGAGCAAAACCGACTTCTAGCCTGATTCGGACTATTGACTTCGCAGGGATTTTCCTCTCGCAAAACGACTGATGATCCTCAGTCGCGGTCTCAAAAGATTGGTCTAGTCCTTCGGTTCGCGAATCGCGGCCGTCACGGCGCTTTAGTGGCGACTGATGAGCTCTCTTTCTCTTCCAGCAAAATTCGTGGCCTAACGAGTTTCACACACATCGCGCCCGAACACCTTGTCAACTATACCCAACTCACACGGATGTAAGTCGTGAAGAAACTCGATTTCTGCAGGTGACCTAATAGTTCAGACACGATGTTAGGGAAAGATCTTGTGGTGATGGACTCGAGCCTTGATGTATGAACGAATTCCAGAGAAATTAGTGATACCGGACTGATATATGTTCACGAGAAAGCTTTCGCAGCCAACAAGAAACTCATTGAAATGTAAGTATGAGCGGTTCGTGTCTCCGATGTTTCGCCTCGTTTGCATACAATTGTCTGCATGCGAAACTCTATCGAGTTACCAGGTTAAATTCACCAAAGCTGCTCTAGTTCCTTTGTACATACATACGTAGTCTCTCCAATAACTGATTCCGGCAAACTGGCTCGCCAAGCCAGAGACCAATCCCGGCCGAAGATCCTCATGACATCGCGCATAGCCTCTGATCTTGCTCGTAATGGGCGGAAAGCCTATCCGCCCCGATGCAGTCCCCTTGATGAGCTATGTGGCTCCGATGCTCGTCATCGTATCTCATAAGAATAGGATTTCCTGTGTACAGCCACTAGGCTGAGGAGCGAAAAATTTGGACCTAGACACCCGAGCTGAGCCAAACGGTATCGATATGGGTGCATATCATACATGCCGATAGACAAAAAAAAGACTTTGAGGCAGGCGGCATACTAACGGTATACTATGTATCTCGGAAATATACGGCCCATGGGAGCGATGGCCTGCCCAGAGGGAGGAAAAGTCACCTACTTCCTACCTACCCCTGAATTTCTAATCCTCATGCTGAGGTACAGGTTTCGGGAGGCACGTCATCATTTCGAGCTGTCCCTGCTCCTTCTCGGGACTCGACATGTTTTCAAAAATGCCAGGCCACGCTCCTCGATACAGACCTTGAGACTTTACTCATTTCTGTGTTCGACCACGCGGGGAGCACGGCAAATGAATCAGATGTTCCGGCGCCTAAAAGGAAACGTGATTCACTTCTGATTGATCTTTCAGAAGGCTGCCAGACAATGCTCTTCGATATTTTCCTTGGCAAGCTATCTACAATCTTCAAGCCATCACAAAAGTGTGAGTTATCATTAGACTTTACCAACATTCTCTCATTGACGGCCTGGGATTGTGAATCTCCCAATCCAGGGCGGACTGTATGCGGGGTCTCCCCGATGGAATGTTTCCAAAATAATATTGTTTGCAGGATCCTTCAGAAAAATCAACTCGTATGTAATTGTAGTGTGGCCTGGATACCACAGAAGCTCTCCCAGGTTGCATTTATGGATGGCACCGGCGAAGATGAAGATCTCCTCTGTCGTTTTGCTGCCAATGCCACCACCATTCGTGTCAACAACTTCAAGGATCCGGATTGCTGTGAGTCCTACTGCTCCCTCCGAGCACTCCACGGGGGAGAGCTTCGACGGAATCCTGCCGTCGCAAGTTAGCGTTCCCGTTGATCTAATCGGAATATCCTCACCCGGAAATCGGAGTGAAAAACTCATATAGCTGAGCCCGACTGCAGTGCTTCGGCTACTACAAGCCGTGCACTGAAACGGAAGTATCGTAGGTTGCCGCAGAAAAATATACCTTCTTGCATTTTGGAATTGGCATTTTTCCATCCAGATCCCCCGCAAATCGAGATCGTCACAAATAACGCGACAGCTAGGCAAGAAAACGATACTTTGAATTTCACCTGCTCAGCGAGGGGGAAGCCTTCGCCTGAGATACGCTGGCGCTGGGCCGACGGCTTCGCGCGACAGGACTGTGTCATCAAAACATCTGATTGTTCCGTTGACGGGTGAGCGGAGATTTTCATGTTTTCGAGAGGAGTAGGAGAGAAAATCTTCCCGCGGGAGATTGCTCGGGTACTGAGTGCTGAAAATTACAGGATCCACGACTCGGACGAGCACGTTTGTAGGAAACTCACGGTGCGAGCTTCGGTCCGAATGAACCAGAACCTATTCTGTCTAGCGGAAAACGCCGCCTATGGACAAAAGAAAGCCATCAATGTCACCGTTTTCGGTAAGCGGAGATCCGAAGAAAATATCAGATGATTATCTTCTCGGCTCGCCTCTAGGCATGTCGGATCGCTCAGAATCGATGGAAGAAACTCTACTGGGTACAACGCAAGTCTCCTGTAGACTCAGAAGTCTCGAATGGACCTCCCGGGGGTGAGGGGGTCGATATTCGTCCGGTCAGATAAGATGTAGGCCAGTGGCGTAGCAAGGGGGAACGATCGCGTGTCGGTCCCCTTGGCAGTGGCTTTATCCCCATGTTTCCAATAATGGAGGGACTCGCGGAATCCAGACCGCCCCCCTCAATATGAATTGAGGATTCGAAGCCTAATAGCCATATACCAGCGATAAAGTTGGAGGCCAGACAAGGAGCGATGGAAAGACCTAAAATCGTCATCGAGAGAGAATCCCGATGGCTTCTCGCCTTCAGAATGTCAGCAAGCTCATTCGCTCGAGTTTCCCTCTCCTTCCTCTCCGGTGGCTCTCTTAAGATTTCGTCATAGAACTCCTTCGGAGAGATTGGCGAATGTCCCCCACCTACCACCCCATGTTTCCTGAAAGCCTCCGCGCTACTGACATAAGGAATATGTTGGAGGATCTCTGATTCGGAGCTGGAATCACAGCGCGAAATCACGCGGGACTCTCGCGCCATGTGTAGCCGAAGGCGGTGCTTGGTGGGGCTCCCAGATTCCCTTTCTACGGAGCGCAGGCTCGGGAGAAAACGAACGCCGGCCCTCTGACCTGCTGCCCCATATTCATGAAGTTATCAGCAATTTCGCTTCCGTCTGTGCCGAATTCCCCTCGTGGCAGAACCTGTAGAACGGCACGGGAGCGTGACTGGAGGTCATCTCGGGATAGAGTTTTCCAGCCTTGCGCCCCAGCCGTCACGCATGCACGTAGAAGACTAAGTACTAACGACGAATCCAAACCACGAAGACCATTCTGACCATAGTTGCTGAGGGCACAAGAGAAAAACTGGTAATATGTGTTGTTTCCAGCCCCACCCACCGTTAGCAGCTTCCGATTCGATCAGAAAAACACATTCCATGTCGTGGGTTACGCCTGGCCACTTCCCTTCTACGTCAACTTTACATTCAACGGAAGCCCTCCGCACATTCCCGGCAGATTTCTCACACGTGCTACAAATGAGACTGGTGCTATGTGGAAAGGTTTGTTTCCCTTACTCGGGTTCCGGGAATCTTACCCCCCATGGGGAGATGCCTAGGCAGCGGTGACGTGCGATGCGAGGACGGCGATTTCCCCGTCGTGACAATGAAGGAAAAAACGCGCTCTCTCAAACTCAACAGCTTCGCTTCAACTCATGCTCGATGGGATCTGGTCGACATACCAGGGAACTTACGACGTGGTAGCGAACAACACTCTGGGAAGTGTGTCCAGCCGGTTCGCTGGGAAGGGCCCGAGAGGTAACATCCAAGGCAAGCACATGTCATTAGGGTATTGAGTTACTTTCGCCCTTCAAATATTTAGTTGCGAATGCATGTTTTTGACCATCGAGCAGCCACCATTCTGGGTTTTGCTTTTCGGATCACTCCAAGTCTGGAGCATCGTAGACTCATTCGTGCGAATGGGGAACTTTAGCGGATGGCGTAGATCCGAGGAATAAATCCGATCATTGAGGGAGTGCGCGTACGAACTTACAGGTGAACTTAAGGATCATGCACCGTGGTTGGACAAGGACCCCTAGAGAACCTCCAATCGAAAGACAGCCCCAGCGTAAGTGATTTAGAGCTCGATAAAAAGTCAAACTCCGCTCCACGGGCATTGAAGTTCACGGAAATTAACTTCAGAGGAACTAACAGCGGGTGCTTCTGTTTGCAGTGGCTTTGGGCCCTCGGCATCGCCACAGGCGGGCTCGTCCTTGTGTTGACCTCGTTGTTGGGCTTTAAGTTCTACCACATGCGCCGCGACGGCGCTCGGAGCGGATACGCCAACCGTACCCACGATTCTTCGACACTTGTGTTTCTGCTCTGCTGGATGTGCGACGCATTCCGACCGGCTAGAGACAGGTGCTGACAGCCAAGATGCTCTAATGCTTCCAATAGAATAAGTGGCTTAGCCCACCGCCATTACCATTATATCCGTGAGAAGATTGGCTCCATACTCATCACACGGACTTCTCGGAAGGCAGGACTCCTCGGGCTTGAACTTCATGGGGGAGATGACTTCGGGAGTTTTTATTAAATTATTCCTCTGCTGGAGGCGCGTTAGGGCCCCCGGAGAAAGTCTAATCTAACACCTGCCGACACCATCCGCGTCGTTTGTCGAGTATTCTACAGCGACCTACTCAAGCTTTATCCTGTCATGGGGAAATTTCGCGCCGCTGTAGAATTTTTCGCTCTGCGAGCTCAAAGCCTCTCTCTTGAAGAGCCTCAGCGCTCCTCCGACTTTCGGCTCGATCATGAAAAACGCGCGAGAGAGGAAGTTGAACGGAGCGGATGTCAAGTAGTCGCTCTCGCCGGGGATAATCGAGTTCTGTTGCGCCAGGTTTCGCTAATTCTGAGCCTCTGCGGTGGAGTAGCGCGGCGGTGAAGTGCAGGACTAGGAAAGATCGGATCTTTTCCGACGTATTTGGATTAATGTTTTTCTCGAACACTCTGCTTTGCAGGATGTTTGCGCAGAATGGCAGCGGAGACAAGCACTCTTTGAGGGTTATATCTAGGGAGCGAATCCCGCTGAACATGACTACCAAGATGGTGGACAATCCCAACTATCCCGCTAGTCTGTTCCAGGATAACAGCCATGACGCCGCAAATCGATCCGGTAAGGGGCATGAGCAAAGATCTTCCGTCTCAGAATCGGAGCGGGAGCAGCAGGCGGACGATTCCCCCTATAACACGAGAGCGCATTGCAGAAGTGAAACACATTGCACGTGAGAAAATCTCCTTCCTGCAACAACTGGGAGAAGGCGCCTTTGGACGGGTGTTCCTGAGCAGCGTTGAATACCTCACACCGACCGAACCTAGGACCCTGGTTGCTGTGAAAACGCTGAAAGACGAGTCTGGTGAGGATCGTGCCGCGTTCGACCGCGAAGCCGAGCTCCTGACCGCGCTGCGTCACGAGAACATCATCACATTCTTTGGGGTTTCCACTGATAGAGATCCCTACATGATGCTCTTCGAGTACATGGAGCATGGAGATCTCAACAATTTCCTCAGGTCAGCCCAAGCATTAAGGGTCTCGAGAGTTATTTCGGTCCTCGGAGTCGTCGTCGATGTTATTCCTCTCTAACCTCGCGGGATCGTCGCACTGAACTTCTCGAGAACCTAATAACGATCTGTCCTTGTCTCTTTCAGGAATAGAGCGCCGGACGGGCTCGTGGTCTCATCCCCGGCGAAGCCGTTCTGCCCTCTCACTAGACTCAATTTATTAGACATCTCATCGCAGATCGCCTCCGGTATGGAGTACCTTGCTTCCCAGCATTTTGTGCACAGGTAATTGATTTCCTCCGCAGCAGCAGCGACTCCAGTCTGATATCACTCGTCCAGAGAAAAGCCTCGGGAATTTAAAATCTCGTCTCTTCCAGGGATCTGGCCACACGAAACTGCTTGGTTGGGGAGAAGCTGGTAGTCAAAATCGGAGACTTTGGTATGAGTCGAGACGTGTACAGCACCGATTATTATAGAGTGAGTAAGGAGGAACGGGAACTAGCCTACGTGATTGGGTCTACGATTTCTTCTGAGCTGCGCCATTTTTCCGCTCGACCTTATCAAGAGATTCTTTCGAAGAGAGCTTCGATCCTCTGCGAAACGGGATCGATGTGATGATGCTTGTCAATGTACGCTCCGATGCCAGTCCCGACAATCTCGCGACCTCATCGCTGGCCTTGTGATAGGCCGCAACCCCTGATTGCCGCGTCCGGTTGCCGTCCTTCTCAGGCTGACCGTGGACCGAGACATTTATATTAGGAACCGGAATGTCTCGTGAGCTCGTCGAAGCTGGGGGAGCGAACACAAACAACCATGTGTTGTTCCGGCGGTCGAAGCGAGGAGCGGGAGAATGAACAAGCGCGGTCGCCTGCGTTCAAGCGCATAGAGTAAACAATGATCAGGATCACGATGGGAGCCCCCGGTCGAGACCGGAGGCTGTCTCGAAGGCGTTGTGCCTGTTGTTCTGAGGAATCAACTCCTGAAATAGCCTCGCCTGTCCGAACAATAGCGAATCCTGATCCGCAATCTCAATCACAGAGCTGCTTCAATCATGGTGGAATGTGGGGGAGTCCTCCTGTCGGGTCGAGCCCCATAAAGCCCCCACAGGAGAAAGGGCAGATATTCCGCTGCTCCTCGGCTCCCACGCAATCTACTCCGCCGAGATTTCTGAAATTTCAACTTCGCTCAAACTTATCACGAGCGCGATCCTAGACCTGCTTAGAAGAGGCATGCCCCTATCAAGATCTGCAATAGATGGTAGCCGAAGGTCTCTCGGGGACCTCCGATGTCCTCGCATCCCTGTTCCGACGAGCACGGGGCCACGTGAGATCACAGCCCATCCATTTTGACCTTCATCGGGCTATCCTGAACGAAGGCCAGAGGCACGACGCGTGGGCCTCAATGAGGGAACTTGAATTGCGAATCGACTCAGAATGCCGTCTTGCTAATGCAGGAACTCCATTCGGCGGAGACAATCTCAACAATGTCAAAGCATCGATCATGCTCAGAGAGAAGCCCGATCGAGGGACTCTTTATTTCTATTTTTCGTCTACGCAGTCGTTGCCGACACGGGCTGTATGACGGCGGCGACAGGGAGTCGCACTCTCTCCTCAAATGATTGCTCTCCCATCGCTTTTCTCCTCCCAAGGAAACGAAGGGTCAGAAAGTCCGACGCTGTCGGAGGACAACGTCCCAAACTGATCCCGCGTCCGCATCGGCGACTCATCAGACCCATTACGATGTGTCCTGAATCGAGCAATGCCTTTCAGGTTGGACGTCAAACGATGCTGCCGATTCGCTGGATGCCTCCTGAGAGCATACTCTATCGGAAATTCAGCGTCGAATCTGACGTGTGGAGTTTCGGTGTCGTTCTATGGGAGGTGTTCACTCACGGCAAACAGCCGTGGTATGAGTACTCGAATCCCGAGGTAAGCTGAAAAGTGTTTCGTGAAAGGGGCTAGCCATGATAAGATGAGCGACGTCGGGCGAGAAGCTTGCGGTCTCCTCCGCTACGAGTGCTTCTCCCCACACTTTCAGGTAATCCAACAAGTCACGAAGAATGCGGTGCTGCCTCAGCCAGCCGAATGTCCGTTGGAAATTTATCAGGTACGGAGTTGTTCGCAACTCAGAGTGATGCACGCGCAGGTTTCCGGACCAGGGGGCTTGCTCATTCGGTCGATCATTCTAGATGCCCCAATAGTATTGCCATCAGAGAGGATTCCCGAGGACCTCGACATCTTATGAGTCTACTCAAGATGGAGAATCAATGAAGGGTGGACACACCCGTTGATAGATTTAGCCCTCGGCGAAATGGGTATAAACTTGTTTCTTCCCTTCGCTGCAGATCATGTTGACGTGCTGGCGGCCGCAGCCCCATGAACGCGCACGCATCAAGGACATCCGTCAAAGACTCGAACAATTCCTCACCAACGAATCACAATACATTCCCATACTAGAAGAGATCGAGACCCCTGATACGCAACCGCTGAATCCGTACGTCGACCAGCAGAGCGACCTCAAACCCTAAATCCTGTGGCTTTGCTCGGTTGTTCGTAGGCGATGACAGACAAACCAACCAACCAACCAACCAACCAACAGGCAGCCGAAGAAACGAAAAACCTCTAGCCAGTACCCATGGTAACTCTTCTGAAGCGCTCCGAAACCCCCGTCGCCATCCCGAGGCTGCCGCTCAATCAACGAGGACTTCGCAAGGAATTCGATTGGAATTAAAGGGAATGGAAAAATCCAGTCGAATGGCGGAGTTGCCTCGGCGAGGGTCCGCCCCAGAGAAGCCTCTGGGGACGATTCTATGAGGGTCACGTCTCCGATGGAAGACGGGCTCCAGTGAGGGCTGCGAGCGGGCCTTTGAAGAGTCTGTTTGCCCTCGAAAAACGTGAGAATTTCCAAACCCTTGGGGCTCGTGGAGCAAGCTTTCGTCCCCGTGCTCCGACTTCGTGAGCCTAACGGAGCCATGATGAGTTAGTGCAGATATCGTAATTTTTTAAGAGGAGTTGACAAACTTCCATAGTTGGGGAGTTCAGATCGGAGCGAGAAATGAGTAGGTATGGAATGCAACGGCGTGAGGCTTCTCACATCATCAGTACTTTCGCTGCCATTCCGCGCTCGTGTCCGAACGTGTATATAACAATGTATGTTGACCAATCGCTCTCTTAGTTCCGTTCGTCGAATCGTTCCACGCTCATCTCAGTATTTAGATGTTAAAATTAATGGCCCTCCGCTTGGGTGCTATAATACTGATCATTGCATCGACGAGTGGCCCAATGCTTCCGACAGCCATCTGAAACTCCTGCTGGCGTTTCGGCACCTCGCCGATTAATTTCGGCTCCGATATGGAATGGACCAGATCGACACACTTCGTTGGCTTAGACGGGACTGCTTGAAATGAAACTATTCAGCACCAGGTCTCTAGCCACTCACGTAGCGATTTATCGTCATACCCATCGATAAGGAGAAAAATCCAGAGCCTCCCGGTTCAAAATGAGATCGCTTTGAGGATCAGCGGTACACACAGGCTGTGTAGTCTAGTATTCACTCGTGAAATGCTCGTTTATCGATAGCTCAGAATACTCCGATGGAACACTGACGCATTTCCAAGAAGATTCCCGGAAGGTCCCGGGTCGTCTCCACGAAATCGCTGGCAGCGCAGAATCGAGTTAGGTGCTCTGAAGAAGCTTATGGTCATCCTCTTGTTGTTATGATTGTTAAACGCTGGAGCTGCCTCCTCAGACTGAAAATTGCTGTGCGGAATCTAGACGAAGCTTACGTTTTGAACGGCATGGTTCATGTCGAATCGAACTCCTAACGGAATGTGAACGTGAGGAGAAACTTAGGGGTATGTAATTATGATAATATGAAGCATAATGCCCAATTCACCATAGGTGGCAAGCGGATGATTGTCATATTGAAAGAGCTGTTATCGAGGGACGTATTACATGTACACAGATTGCCGGCCGGAAAATCAGCGACGTCAACGAAATGCCATTATCGCGGCCCGGACTCGGGAGATTTCGCTTATCTGAGCCTCTCGGTGACATCTGGTGGATGCGCCTAGCCATGCCTTCAGATTATTTCTAGCCATGCCCGGTCAATTTTCCGTAGCGCCGAATTCGGATTCAGACTCCTTTCTTGTCTCAGATAAACATACCAGAAGCGCGAGCGATTGCATAGGCGCATCCAGGGCGATCAGGCGATTATTCCTTCCTTGTCTCTCAGTTCCGTTTCGGCCCATATGTCCCATATTTAGGGATATTCGAGTATCAGATCTCCTCCGCGGCAACGTCCTTGATCCGCAGCCGATTGATGGAAGCGGCCAGACTATTCGAGAAGGAACTTCGATTGGGGGAAGGAAAATCGCTAGGTGGTTCGAAGACGAGTGCCGAGCTGCCTAAATGCTCCCCCTCGGAAGAAGAAGCCTATGCCTAGGATCCAATTTCCTTTAGGCTGAATCAACTCTCATCGATCCTTCAGACTGATTTTCCCCACGCATCAAAGCTTCTTCCCGACCATCGTCAGTCTCCGCCGATCATGTTCGAGAAGCCATCGAATCGGATAAGTCGTGTCAAGAAACAGTCTGGAAGCAGAGCCCGATGCCTCTGATTGGGAAATGATCAGATATTAGGCAGAGTCTCGGGAGCGAACACTTGCTCGACAACGAAATCTCCCCGGAGATGAAATCTCTAAAATTCGCTGAGCCGTGAGCGAGTCGGTGACACTCCAATCTCGCCGAAACGAAGTCTCGCCTCACGTCGAGCAACTTCGGGGTGTAGAGAGGGAAACGGAGCAAAGACGTCGACGGGTTCCTTAGTGATTACGATCCTGAAAATAATGAACCTCCAACGAAAATGATCGACTCATTGTAGAGGAGGCGAGGTCCCAGCTTCAATAACGATGGATCCGTTTAGTTCGGATACCGATGAGTGAGTTTCTATTGATTCGGCCATTTTCTATCTCCCTCCGCTGTCTCCTTCAGAGCACATCGGAGGGAGACAGGATATGCCGATACCTCTCTCAAGAACGGAACTCTCGGAGTATACATGGTCCTTGGCCCATCGCGTGGACGTCTACCGCGAGTATTTTCGATAGAGGTCGGCAGTTTCTGCTATTTTCAATGATGTCGACACGACGGGAGGTGCTCTAAGCATTTGGAGATTATTGGAAGGACCTATCGTGGTGGACTTTTCTGAAATTCGTCTCGAGAAATGGCCAGGTGATGACGCTCGCTTGCGATTTACATATTTCACCGCCAGGATAATTCAGATACTGGTATGATGGGAGATGCTGGTGGACATTCTCTTTTATGTATAGAACGGATACGCACACTATGACAATAAAAAGAGTGATAGATACGCTATCGGTGATAAAACTATCTTGACATCGATGATGGTATCGAATTAGTGAGCGGTAAGTTCAGATCGGAGACCAGCTATGCTGAGTGACATCGCCGAATGAACATATATTTGCGGGCTCTGAGACCTGGGAAAGTGTTTCCAGGATGATGAATATGCTGAAGAATTCGGATTGAATGAAGCAGATTACGAGCTTTCAAGTACATGAGGTGGAGTCGATTTAGGAACGCATGTATCAATGTCAGAATATCTGTAAAAATCGTGTGAGCTCTGGAAAGCCCAGGTCATTGGGGAATATTTTTGATTCCGACCGGGCCACTCTGACTGTCCATTTCCAATAAAACCTTCGTTCCAACAACATTTCCTGATGCTTTCTCCATTAGTCACCATATGCAGGCTCCATATCTGTCGCTACCCACTACCAATCTCTCGGTGGCTTCCGGGGTGTTCATCTGATGCTCAGAATGATCCAGCTGCGAGGGACCTTGGTTCGGGACTCGATGCCTTCCCCATGTTGACCGACTCAAGTCCGAGTAAGACCGGAGCTTCAACTCCACCAATCACGTCCATTGATACTATCGTCGCGCAGCTTTTCACGAATCCATGTGCCTTGCTTGCGACAAATGCTTGATTGCTCATTGGATGCTCCGCGGACGGATTCGGCGACTTTGCGTAGGGAAAAGAGATTACACGGGGGGAAGGGTTTGGGTTCGAGGATCATCATGTCTCAGATCACGACATTCTCGACTAGTCGCCGTGGGGGCATCTTCCTAAGCTGAGATGAACGCTCTGTCGCGCAGTGAATTCCGGATGACCTATGAAATCCTAGGTCTGCTGATGTGTCGAGAGAAGTGCAGCTGAGGCTCACCCTGACTGCACGCCGAGAGCGGGCCATTCGAAATCTCCGCAAGTCCGCTCAATAGAATGAACTCCCTAGCCGCGATCCCTCTGGGTCCACATGAAGCAAGCCTCGTATGGAGGGCTGGAATCAGGTTCCGGAGGCGATCATATGAAGGATCGCCCCTTCTACTCATTGTCAGCTCCCCGGGACCCATGTACGGGGGAGGGCGAAGGCTGCGGCGGTATAGGGAGAAGTCTCGCGTTGCGCTCAGTGGCCTAATTCGGCGCTGGCCGGTCACCTCGCATCACGACGGATCCGATGACATTGCGAGGAATAAGTAGAATCAGAATCAATGGAAATCCCCTCGTGCCCGTGACGATGTCAGAGGATGTCCAGCGAGCGGATCCATGCACTCGAGCGAGACTAAGCGGCAATTTCGCATGAGAGCTCATCACTGCCCCAATTCTGATCCTTTTACTCTTCTCGATCCGAATCAGCGCTGTCATGCTACTTCTACTAAATTATTTATCCGACCGATGCCGACTTGGTCATAGACTCCGGCTCACGGGATCGCTGTCGATCACATGCAGTCCATGAAGCACCTCCCTGTTCCAGTGGAAATATTTTCAAGTGCTAAGATTCTTCTCACACAGGCTTTTCATCGAGAAAATCCTTCATTCCACAGATGACACAATGCATCATTCGATGATCTAAGTCAGCTCTCTAGTAGGCTCGCGACCTCGATCAGAGGTCGGCGACTGAGAAGACTTGACATCCGCTGTGCGGTCCTCACTCCCCTTTCTTTTGCTGCGCGAGCCGAGCTAGTGTCGCTGAATTCACGGGTCATTCAACAATGCGGACTCTGGCCTTCCACCTATCCCTAGAAGCCCTGGGTGGCTTTCTTCGGAGCAATCGCCAGTCCCGTTTTCCGATTAGGAACCCATACCAGCGATTTCGGATGGCTCGCATGATGTCCTCACTCACTAGCCTCTCCCTGCGTGAGCCGGAGAGTCGATAATTCCTTCTTGATTCCCACCGGCTTCTTACCCTGTGCTCCTCATTGGGGAGGAACTAGGTGGGACCTGGCGCGTCAGAATGCCTTGTGTCGAACCCCTTGGGCTCTATACCAGGACTCTTCACCACCTTCTGAAAAGCTTCAGAGTTTTGGAATCGGCTCACAATCAGACTTGACCCTACCTCCGAGGCTTCAATGATAATTGCGTGAAATTCACATGGGGAGGGAACAGGGTACCGGATGCCCAAGAAGACTGGAGCTCGAGGGAGGGTATTGAAAGGATCTCGGCTGGCCCCACAGAGTCGAACCGCGATGAACCCGCTCTGTTCCATGGGGAGCGCGGCCGCAGTGATCGTGAGGCAAGCCGTCATGATTAAGAGAGACAGCTTGTGAGCTCATTCATATCCCGTTGAACACGAGACGCCCGTCTGCACATTGAGCTTCTCATCCTCCACTATGGCGAAGCTTGAGACAGCTCTGTTCCGATTATCCCGGCGCGGGAAAATTCCAGGAGTCCGAGAAACGTCATACATGAGTATCCGAACACGTATGGAACATCATCACAACAGAGAATGGAACGGATACCGGCCCTGCTCTGGAATGAGACGCTTCTCGGTCTCGAGCGGAAATTTGACCGAGTTTCGAGTCGATTCCATTGCATCGCTTCGCCATGCATCTTTCGCGTCTCAGTGTTTACCTACATCCCATTCCGAGCCCTACATTGAGACCTACGACGCAGTCCCTAATGGGAATGGGAGGCGAATCGGAATTCTACATCGCGCACCAGTTACTCGAGACTTTCCTCCCCAACTGCAAAGTTCTCGCCGAGGCTTCGAATACCCTGATATTGTATGGAAATCTGTCCAAGAATGGGCTTCGCAACGGAATCTGAATACCATCGGCGAGAGCAAAGTTCGCTGGTAGAATCGCTGAAAGCGAGGGCAATTAGTTGGCTCGACAATCTCGCGGGAGGATACCCAGATTGTTGAGCGGACAGGAAAGCCAATCCGAAGAAACATGAGGGGAACCTTCAGTCGATTCACGCTCTTTGCTGCCGCTCACGAGCCATTGGTTTCTCGTCAACAAAATTTTCTCACGATGCACTTTCTCAATACGATTCTCTTTCGTCCTACGCGAAGACGAATTTCGTCAACTCGTCCTCAGAGGTAAGAATCGCGATCCATCGAGCGCCCCGCCTCCCACGCAAGTTTTCCAAATCTCTCTGCTGTTTGAAGCAGGGGACCGCGTTGATTTTTTTTCAAACCCAGGACGATGCACCGATCAAGGCGATGAGAATCATACACAGCGAAAGGTTCAGCGGAACTATCGTTTATGTGCGATTCTACGCTCTCCAGGAAACTGCCTTGATCACATGATGCTCCGCCAGTCCGAAGTTCTTCTCTTCAAAAAGTTCAGGCAGTTTTCGAGAGTCCTCCGATCTTGCGATTCTTCCGGGTACACGAATGAAGAGCTCACATGGACAGTTCTGAATGCTCGCCTTCGCGAGCTATTTCATATCAGGACCGCTCACGTGGCGCCGGCAAGTCGCTCTCGTTCCGGGTCGTCCTCCTGCGACAAGAGCCTTCGAAAGCACTTTCTGCTGCCGCCCCCCCCCTCCACTCTTCTTCAGGTCTCGTTCCCTGTCGTCACGCAATCATCGGCACCGGAGGAGTTACTCGAGCCAAGGCTGTAACCCGACTACGTTCTGTTCGGCAAGATATCGGAGATCAGAGCATTGAATCGAATGTTGAGCGATCACACAAGCGACGTAGTCGGTGACCGGATCACAGTGCACGACCCCTTCCCCTTTGGGCTCTCCGCGATGCCAAACGAAAGATGTATCTCAAAGTACCAGACATATGCAGTTTTCCACTGAAAGCTCCGCGCTGGTGTATCCAGTCTCTCGTCACCTATTGGGACTTCAATCTCGGGAATACCACTAGCCGAGGGCTGCATGCCTGATGAGCTTCATTCTTCGGAGCATGAATCATGGAAGAATTCTTTGATGACAAGAAGCCTTTCATCATGAGAGCCATCGGAGAACTTCTTTCGCGTCACTGACCCTTTTTCCGAATGTGGGCGTAGGATCTTAGAATTTTCCGAGGAAAACCCGAGGGATTGGACCCTCCCTTCCCGAAATTGACGAAGCCCGATTCGATTCTCATGTACGCCTGGGTAGCCGGCGGTAACAATGGCGTATCTTCCCTCATTGTCGAGCAATTTCGCTCCTCCTGAGACAACTCTCATTGGTGCTTAGGAATATGGGCGATCGCTCGGAGGCTAGCGATCTGAGAATTTCTCAGACTCGATGGGAGCCGAGGAACGTCCAATCATTAGACAACGGTGATTCTCATTCGAGCGCCTGCTTACCTGGAATGTTTTTCATCCTATCAATTAGAGATGTCCGGTCGTGACTCCGCTCCGAGCATTGGGAGCTCGACCAGAGGAAAGCCTGAGGTGAAAATGTCGGATGGAATTGAGCGAAGAAACTGAGGAGGTGCGATCGTCCAACACCGGGTATTTCTTGGTTTTAGGTGTGATCTTGTTCAGACGCTGACGGCGATTAGATCGCCTGATAGCCGCCATTCGTAACGGAGCTGAAAACTGAGAGATCGGTAACGCCTTACAGTGGGCGTGCAGCTTTTGCTCCAATCATCCGACGTTCTTCCATAACAACACATGGAACATGGAGCCCTCCGCATCGAGGCTGGTCGTTTTGAGTCTTTTGCTAGTGTTGTTGGTAGCCGGTGAGCATGGAGCGTGAATTATTCAAGCCGGAACGATTTCGATTTTGAGCCCGAAGCTTCAGGAGAGCAGAATTTGCAGGAAGAGCCGAATCACGGCGCATACGGTATCGGAATGTGACAGACAGTGCAAGACGGCTATCCAGCAAACTTTTCGAGGATTCAAGTTACCAGGCCATGGTGCGACCGATGCGTAAGGACGACCAATGGATGTATATCAGAGCATTTCTGTACGTGACCGGGATCCGTTACGTGGACGTTTCCGCCGATAAATTCAGCATTATAATGTTGGTCTGTTTGGTAAGTTCGGGCGAGCTTCCGCGTGGCTGCGCAGATTTTCCTTCGGTTTCATCCCAGCTGATCTTCTCTCTTACGAGCAGAGTTGGAACGATCCCAGATTGAAATGGGTCCCTCGGAGGTTCGCAAACATTGAAAGTATCCGAGTCTCCGCATATAGCATATGGACACCGGAACTGGTTCAGACGTGAGTTCTATCCCTCAAAGTGTTTCGAAAAAGGATTTTTGAAGCTTTTGTCGGTACTTGTAACAAAAACTTGCATGAGCTCGTCCTGACTGTTCGCCTCCGTCGACATGGAACTCGGGAAAGCTTACATTGGGCGCCTCAAGTATAAGAGCCTCCCTAAAGCGAACCATGCTGTCCAGACGGCTCGAATCGCAACGGCCGAACTTCCTTGCGCGGGGGCTCGCGAATTTCCCATGCCTGCTTTGCGTGTTCGATCTCCCGGTAATGAACGCGTCGTGATCTCACGGTAGCCTCCAATTTTCTTGAAAGCCGTCAAATCTCTTCCGACCGTTTGCGGGGTTCCTCACTACTACGAGCGAAGCTTCGTGGAACGGGAGATGCGTTCTAGGAATTCCCGCAGAACATCCGCCGCTGGGCGGTTCTAAGCCCCCCTGGCAGTGTTCTGACGAAGACTCCTCGTAGGAAGCTCTGGTGTTTGAGCCTACTCCGTGCATTTCATGATAGCTTAATCCGTCTATTCCCAATACGCGGGAATATTCCATGCCTGAAACTTGGTTGGATCGGTTGTAGCTTGGCTCGGAGAAAACCTCACCGTCTTGCTTTCTGAGGCGGGCGAGCTATCATCCGATGGGACATTGCATGAACATCCGCGTTCCGCCCCCGCATAGAATTGATTCCGCATGCTTTCCCCCATCCCTCAACATTGGGGCTGCTAACGAGCTCGCACTCGTCGGGCTCGGAGTTCTGGCGAAACGGATGGTCTAATTCTATTTATCCGGGCGATTCCCCGAGAGTCCCGTGCGTGGTTTTCTCCAGAGCTCCAATATCAACATTATCGATGACTCGCGCGAATCGCGGAAACTTTTCCGTGCGAAACTCTCTGCATGATTTTTGACGCGCCATCCCTCGGAGCTCCTAACTTGTATCTTCATGTACTCCCCTCATCCTCGGATCGCTCAAAATCCCAGTCCACGACGCCGACGAGAGCATTCAATAAATAAATCGTAGAATCAATCCCAGTCTCTCGCTATTTTAATCCGGAGGTTCCTCATCGGCATTACTCTGAGCAGGTTGTCCATCGGATCGATATCACAGAACAGAGAGTTTCCCCTGAGCGTCGATTATAAGGGAAATGTCTCGGATTGTATGACGAGGGAGATCGTTTCGAACTGCTATATGGACTTCTACAACTTCCCGTACGACACGCACGACTGTGATCTCGCGTTGGAGTTGACAGGGATGCGAATCGAGGTGAATATTCTTGAAATCATGGTCTCTAAGTCTTTCCGAGGGCTAGTCTCGAAATCACCCCCAAGCTCGCTCGCCGATGGGTGTTCTTCCTTCGAGAAGAACTTTTCGAATTCGGGTCCGAAACTCTACGGCTCTACGGGACCCCGGCCTTACTCCTCATTCGCAAGCCCGTGCAAAGGCCGAAGGAGCGAAATGAGGCTTCGCACCGGCACCGCCGTGGGAGGGTTTCCCTTAGGCGGCAAACTTCTAAGAGGTGGGAATCGGGGCTCATGTGAAGGGCGCAGTCCTATACACGTCGAAGCGTCCGGAGTCTGGAGGTTTTTCATCGCCACAAGATAAACAAGTACAGAGGCGGAGCAGGCTTCAACATCAACGGAAGGTCTCGCTCATATCGATAGTGTCACTGATGCTGACAGCTGCCAGAATGCGTGGGAAGAACTGCAGAGCGGGAAGAAAAGAGCCCGTGGACGTCGGCTTTGCACTGAACAACGGCGTTCCCTCACCGATGATACATGTCTTTACTCTCCGCAGAGATTAGCCCTCGAAGTCGATCCAGTGGAATCTTACGAGGAGAAGAACGGCGAGTGGCATCTCCTCTACAGAAACGTGAGCGAGCCTGTGATCCTCGTGTAAATTAACGGGAGCTCAGTTAGATATCTATGCTGCTTTGAAAGTTCAGTTCCGATCTTTCCTCATTTACAGATATCCTTGGACCCTTCAGGCCCGATGGTCCTAACGTTCTCCCTGACTCGCGCGAGCTCCCATTACAAGTGAGTGCTATTGGAGAGTCGTGGCTCAGCTCACAATTAGTCTGGCTAACTGTGTTTCGGGTTGAGCCTCTGGTTAGAGCAAATTCAATTACGGCGATATTTTGAAATGACTGGGCGACTCATCGTCTCGTTAAAGAGCAACGGTGTTCATGCCAACCTTGGCAATACTCCTCGCATCGGTTGGTGCATCTTGGATCCCATCTGTCCACAGTCGACCGCGCACTTCGCTGTTGGCGGGGCTGCTGTTGATAAACGTCCTCCTCTCCCGACACACCTGCCGTCTCGTTGAAGGAACGCAGACGCTGCCTCGCATCGGTGAGTCTGTCAAGGAGACTTTCAATTCATTCCCAATGCGGCCAGCCCCAAGCAACACGAGAGCTTCGGTCCGAGACTCAAAACTCATGGCTCTTCCTGTTCCCAGTCCTTCTGCAGAACGGGTGTCTCGGATTCCTCACAATCGGCATAATCAGTAGTTGCGTGGCCGAGTTCGTTCACAGAACACAATCTCAATGGACAGCTTCCTTAAAGCAAATGCAGGGCGTGGTCGACTATTACCTTCTGCCAGCTGCTGGAATCTTCCTTATGGTGGTGAACCAGATTGTTTCATAGGGTCGGAGTTTCCGCGTGTCACGGCGTCGCGTCGCTTGGAGCGATGTAAATACTATGGTGGACGAAGAGAAATAAATTTCCTTCGACTCAAATGAAGTCGTCTCTCACTCCTTCTCCCACTGTACTTCATATTGATTGCCAATATTGGGCAATCGGGTGGAGGGTTCTGAAGGACGGCACAGAGAATACCGCTGTTCTCGGGGTACAGCACAGGCTCGATGATGATTCGATGGAGCGGTAATGAGCAGATAGCCATCCAAGAGACTCCACCTGGAATAGCAGGTCGATCAAGGACTGCATGATCAGCAGCCCCGCGCACAAAATTGAATATGTCTCAATTACTCCCGTTCGTTCCCCTATATACGGATATACAGTCCAGTCGAACCCGCTGATAAGAAAACCGCCTAAAGTAGAAAACCGGATATAAGAGACAGATCCCGATTCCCCGATTTTTTTTCTATGGGGCTTCATGTTAAAAGCCTCGCTTATAAGAATTTCGGATAAAAGAGAAAACCGGAAGATATATAAGAGACCCTTCCGAAACCCCGGCTCCATAGAGTCCCATGTCGGAGACCTCTTATGTAAGAGAGAACCATCTCAAGCAGAATTCTGGTTTGCCCTTCCATGACTTTTATTCCTCTCAAAAGCTGCCCGAATAAGATATGGTTCTGACGAACTTCCGTAATAAATCAGAATTCGCTTCGAAAATGATCGTCTCTGCGCTGAATCATGGTATGGGCATCCGAGTCATACGAGAACGGGACTTTTCAGGATTTCCATGGAAAACCCGTACCTCGGATATTAGAGAAACCGGATATGAGAGACCATTTACAATTCGCCGAGAGGTCTCTTCTTATAAGCGGGTTCGACTGTATCAGATATATCTGTATGTATCAGATATCATATCGACCCGCGAGGACAGAGAAATGCGATGCCGCACGGTCTCCGGAACTATGCACGGCTCAAGAATAATGCCGGCGACTTCTGGACACCCGTCCGGATAGGGCAGTCGCATACTCGATGATTGTGGAGCTTCGAGGGCTCAGCTCATAAGAGCAGTCATTTTCGGTTTCACCGGTGATCAGCCCCACGTGATGGGATTGACTCAATGACTACCTCATCGACATGGAGCCCATCTGACTACTTCGTGGCTGCACGGGCAGGTATTCGTCGACCGCGCAGCTGTGACATGAGGAGGAGCCGGAGGCTCGCCGGGAGTTCCAGCTGACCGGGCGATGTGTGTACCTATCGATTTCTCAGAGTCTCCCATCCGGGCCTGGAGATGAACAGCTTCACTTTGCAAGGGGATATCCTTGCATACGAAGATGTATTGAGAATTCGAGCGGTATGTCCACAAAAGTCCCGGCTCGTTTTTTGTGATGAAGTCTCACCCCGTCCTTGAGATGAACATCGGTTCGGACATGAGGACGGACGATCTCGTTCGCGCTGATCCTGTTCCCCATCCGTTTATGGTTGTGCAGGTCCTTGTTCGAGCATCTTCCGCTCCAGAGATTTCTGTTTACGAAAATTCAGCCTGCCATCGAGCTCCTTGGTAACCGACCGGGCTCTTCTCCTATCTCCTGCTGATAGGAACTCACTTCCGAACTCAGATGTTCGATGCCTCCGTACTTCCCTCCGGCAGCGCGTTCCAACTTCAGAGAAGCGGGAGCCGTGGGAAATTAGAATGGTCATTCACGGCCAATGATGGTCGTTCAGGGACGTCGATGTCCAGCGGTACCGGGAGTTACAAGAGTCAGGGAGAGACGAGGCAGGTGTTGGCGTCGGTACGGAAAAAATTCTCCAAGACATGAGCCCTGTGCTCCTTGAGCTAGTGATGAGGGTGGCCTATCATCGATATGGATAAGGGAAGCGAGCCTCGCTTCAACAGGATAGTTTACTGACCGGCTTATAGCTTATGGTCCGTGTCATATGGTCTGAGGAAGTGCGCGGGCTTCCGCTTTGCTGGACATTACGAGCTTCGCTCTGCACAGCGGTCTCGAGGGGCATTTTATTGCAGTTTTATTGTCGCTTTCCTCAGATGCGGATCACGTGCGCGACGACTCGTTTCACCTAGTTGAGGGACTTATGTGCATGAGTCTCCGTTACCGATGCTCGCGCTCATGCACGCTACGCGGAGCACTTGGTTGTAAGAACGACGCTGCTCCCGACGGGGATCAAGCTCTTTTTGGAAGGAAGTGCTCAACCTCGGACTTGCATCTTCCCCACCGCAATTATTGAAAGTTATCGGGAAGAGGTTGCCTGCTCCTTCAACTTAGTTGAACAGTACGAGCTAGAGCAGCCATCTCGAGGGAGAGCGATGGACAGAGCTCGGAGTACGACATGGCGCTCGAGACGACCAATCTCATGGACCTGTTGAGTTCATCGGAGGCCTTCGACCTGAGAGCCCGTCGAGCTGATGAGTTTTTGGGCTATGGCGTTCGCTTCCGAAACCCTTCTCAGGCTGACCAATCCAGTCCGTAAGGATGAGCCGCTCAGAGGATTACGATATCCGGTCGGTAAAAATGAGCGGAGTTATCCGGAGAAATTCGGAGAATTCGATCCTCTCGTTTCAAGTCGACTGATAATAATTGAGGAGCCCCGCCCTACAAGCATGTATAGGCATCCTGGGGATGCGTTATAATGCACGGCGAGGTTGCGATCCGCCGCTTCCGAGAGGCGCCATTCCGGAGAGAACACTCGGAAATCCGATCTCCCGCAGGGGATTTCGGCGAACGAGCTCGGCCATGCGCGGGAGTTCCGTTCAAGGGCAGCGATCCTGCGATCCGCATGGGATCCCATCCCGTCTCTTGCGAAGCGTCGGAGAGTTTTGGCGGATCTGCCCATGGAGACCTCGTAGATAGCGAATTCGAGCTGACTTTGCGGATGAGCGACGAACGATCTAAGCTAGAATCGTCAGTCGCCCCGACCGGCTCGGCGACGAGCGTCGAAGACCCGATTGAGGAAATCGGCCATAATTCATGAGCGGATATCTTAGCTCTAGGATCTGAGAATACCCTTGTCCGACCTGGCTCCAGAAATAGGACCTGACTGACTGAATCCTAGGCACCCGCAACTTGGGTAGTTGTTAGAGGGCTTAGGCACTTGGAAGTTGGAAAGTCTGGAAGATGGCAATCGATACGAGAGGATAATCTCACGGTCGACGATCACGAATACGATGAACATGAATTTCTTCGTGCCAGACTGCGGACAGCAGTACCGCTTTCCGTGCGCTCCTCAAATCGAAATGAGAAATTCCAAAGTACTCAGATGTCGGGCTAGATAAGATATCCCTACGGATAGACTCGCTCATCAACTCGAGAGCATTGAAGCATTCTCCTATGTCCTGGACGCCGAGGCTCCACGCAGAGTATCCCATCTATCCTATCTAGGGAATTACCTATTCGGGGTGGAGGTCAACTTAACGTCTGCGGCGCTGACTGCGCCCGCTCGAGGTCTTGAAAACCTCGTGCCGTTCATTGGGACGGCTGATTTGTTTTGTTACGTCTGGGGCAGTGGCTCTCAACTTCGATCAGAGCTTTGCTCCTGCCGATGGGATTCTATCGACCACGCGCGGGTCCAGGACTCGGAGCAACCCGTTCGGAGCGGGGCGATCTTCGAAAAGCTCGGCTTTATCAGTAGTTTTCTGGTTATCTGAATTGCCCGCTGCTCCACCCAACGCTGGAAGCGCGCGAGACCATTACGTCGTGATTGAATCACATGATGCGACCAGCGATCCTGAATGAACTCCGTTCCGCCGCCGGATCTAATTTAGAAGAAACGTCTGCGAGAATTGACCGCAGGCTCCTATCAAGCGACGCTTCGGCTCCGACCGAGAACTTCTGTTGACTCCGTTGCTCTTACGAATTCGCTACGAACGGACTGGAATGGAACTGCCACGTTCTGAGCACTGCAACTTCGGCAAGCTCATCGAGTTTGGCAGTTGCGGAAGGGAAAAAAATGCCCTTGCTCGATTGCCTAACTAAGTGGGGAGCTCATTCATTAGAGGAGAGATGTGAGCGATCAAAAAACTCTCGTATTACAGAGTGTTTGACAACGTTGAACGAATGACGAAATTATTCCAATCGAGGCCAAGGGCCGAATGTTTATTAATTAATTAGGGTAACTCCAGAGGCTCCTTGGAACAAAATCCAAGCACGACAAACTGTCGAAATAGTCACTGAGCATATATGAACATATCATTTTTTCTTTATGATAGAACACTCCTGTCGGATCAGAATTGGAAAACTACTATTCCTCGACAGAATTATTATTTTAATGATGATCAGACAGGAGCGCCAAAATAGACTAAAGCGGTTGTCGGAGAGATCCTGGTGGGGGCTTATCGAGCTCGTCGCCTGTTTTGAGGCAGTCTTCCCTTTAATTTAGACTCATCAAATACTAGCGACTATGCGATGAGACTTAGTTCAGCCCCGCAATGAGTCGATGGAGTATTCGCTCCTCATTCGGTGTCGATTCCTTCGTCCAAACTACATTGATAGCCGTGTACGGCTGCAGAAGATTCGAGAGCTCCCTCTCGTTCGTCGTTCGTGATGAAGCTGTCGTCGAGATACTCGAGTTTAGGAAAGTGTCGGATGATGAAATGTCTGCAATGAAAAAAGAGGGAATCATTCTTGAACTTCGAGAACGGATCTGATTAACCCATTTTGAGCTCCTCGAGCTGAATGAAATTTTTTCAGTGCGATGGTATCCTCCGACCGACGCCGACGGCTCGGACGGTTTTCTAAGAGCTTTGGCAGTTCACGTCCGGCTTCATGCTGGAAGCTAACTCACCGATATAGTTCGTTTTGTTGTTCCGTGCCTCCGTTCAAATAATTTGGACACACCTCATTAGCCATCAAACTCAGTATCCGGAGACTGGGACACTGCTGTGCCAGGGACGGTATGAATGGAGCCGCTGATAGCACGCGGTTGTAGTTGAGGCTTAATGTGTGTAATCCCGGAATTTTCGGGAACACCGTGAGACAACTGATTCTGTTGTGGTCGAGGATGACCGTTTTCAAGTTCTCGAAATCAGACAAGAATTGAACGTCCCTGAAAGATCGAGGAGGGAGGTCTCAGATCCGCTGGATTCTTCGATATCTGAAAATCTTCTATTCGAAGTCGACATCCTCGGAGCTGATATTAAATTCAGGCGGAAGCTTCCTCCCCACGAAATGAGCCGACGACTCTTCGTCGAATATATCCGACGGCAAGGATAGCCATTGCAACTCGAGCAAAGTGTATCCCATGAAGCCTACGTGCACAAAGACTCGCAGATTGAGGACGCTTCGCTAGTTCGCGTCGGCGACGTCGATTCCGGGAATCGATATACACACATATACAAGCTGCACCAAAGACCAACGCCTCCGCGAGCCAAGTGATTCTTCGGTCAAAAAGATATACACAGTAGGCGGCGGAGAGGGACCGATATCCGCCACGTTTCTAGGATACCCAGGTCTCATGCGCCGCGCACGGGCGGGGGCTCGGGCTTGGCCAATATCGTCAAAGAAGATCTTCACGGCCCTCGAATTTCCGAATACTCACGTCAGACGGTTGCCCGTCAGATCTATCGTTCTAACGCTGTTGTAGAGCTCATCGGGGATCTTGCCATTTGGAACGGATTCGAGGTCCTCGAATGCGAGACTCAAGGAGAAAGCTGGTTGGTTTGGGTGCCTTAAAAAAAGAAACTCTCATGAGTCCGCAGCCACATGTCTCCTGCAGGGCATTCGCAACGCATTCTCTCCCTCATATCCGCGGGTGCTCTGTAGAGCACGTCGAGAGATTTATTCGAGACAGTGCGTGTCTGAATTTTGATATTCCAGACCAGAAACAGATCGAGGTCGGAAAGAAGCGGAGAGAGTTCTCTCGAATGAAGAACGCCTGCTCCGTGAGGGGGGAAAGCTCCAACTGGTATTCTGGAGCAGAGACGTCTAATCAACAGCCTCTGATCAACCGAGTTCCGATGCATCTGGAAACTTCCTTGAGGACAGTCTATCCAGCAAATGCAGCGACCGGACATCACGCAACAATATATCCGACGGATAAGCGATCCGCAGAGAATGGAAAAATCTTAGACAGGTTCCGACCGATATACTGGTTCAGATAGTGAGAATTACTCACGGGAGAAGTCGGTCCTGAACGAAGCAGCCGTCGAGTGTGTCGTGGACACCGGAAACATCGAATCCCCAAGGAGCACTCCGAGTACTGAAAATCACGTTCATTAGCTCCTAACGTTGTCTGTCGTCTTTTCCCTCGGAAAGAGGAATCGTCAAGGAATCGCTCATCCACCGCCTCCTCACTCTCCAATGGATCAAAGTTCGACAGGCTATGGACAGATGGAGACGGAGCGGCGCCTCAAACTCAGTGAAGTTCGGAGCTCGAATGTGCTTCCTGCGGAAGTTCTGAGCATGGGCCCAAACCTTGAAAGGTCTCGCACATTCATTTCCGCCCGCCGAGCGTACGCCACCGAAAGAGGCTTAATTTGAAAATCGTGAAGTCTCAGAAGAAAAAACACCGTGTCGAAACTCATCGAGGATCGAAAGTGCTTATTGCGGAAACGAGAACGAGCGATCGCTTTGGGTCAGATTTGGATACGGATCCGCAATCGTCGATACATGAACGAGAAGGTTTTGAGAACGTCGGAGGAGAGCGATGATCCAAGCAGACAAAATTACCACTCGCACTTATACGATCGACGAGCTCGAGAGTTTCCGGTCTTCTCGGGGACGAAAAGCTGATGAAAAGGTCACGAGTTGGCGCCACGACGAAGGTCTTTCCATTAAAAGCATAAGCGTCGCGCTTTACTACTCCTGATTATCACAAAGCTGATTAGCGGCGACCTCCTAACGCCTGCGGGACACGAGGAAGAGCCAATTCCTCGCTCCGAGTCGGAACATGCAACTAAATATCGGACGAGGCGCGTCTCGCGAAGAGAGTGTGGACTTTCGATAAAGGAGTAAAGATTTAGATACGAATCGAGACGCAGCTATCGGGATCCGCGTCTCGTGAGGGTGACAGCTTGGCGTCGAGACTGATTTTTTTGACAAAAAGTCAGGGGTAGGGCCTCAGTTGCAGCTCGGTCTATTGCGTAGACCAACAGTGGTGTGTGACCGTCCCGCAAAGTTTGAGTAGAACGTTACTCGCCCGAGACGGGCATGACCTCGGCGTGATACAGTGGCCGACTGCGGACCGCCAAGTGAAGTCGAGAGATCAAAAGAAAGGCGCTCTCGCAAAGTGATTAGCATCTAAGAAGCAGTCTTGTCCTCTCGAATGAGCTTTAGTCGGTTAAAAACAAATGCATTGAGCTGGAAGTATGTTTATGAAATTGTTTTACCTTGATAAGGACTCGGTCCAACTGAGAACGTCGTCCCGACGAACGCGTTTGCTCGAGTGACTTTGTTCGGCGCCCATCTGGAAAGAAGTAACGTCAGTCAATACACTACGCGGCTTTCCGTTACGCGACTAGCTCGTTCAGAATCACTGAAACGCCTTCGATTTGCCCAAATGACGCCTCCGCGTACGCTACATACGAGTGCTATACTGGAGTTGTGAAGTGAGAGCTCAACAGTTGCGAGACCGGGAAGGCACAGTGAAGGCGTTTCATTCCGATCGCCTTCTTGTACTGAACTCGGCTCTTTATCAGCCGAAGTGTTCTCTCCGAACGCCGAACACTGCATTGGAACGGGCGTATCAGCATTACGCGAGAACTTTGTCTGAGGAAGGAGACCAGTTCCTCGACACTCGTCTCATATCGGAGCACTGAGGCAGAGCTCAATGGTCAACTCGAGAAGTATCGTCATCATATGATACGTTGTAAGCCTCATAAGAGGTAGCGACACACTGAGCACGGGAGGAGTTCGGAGAGCTCGGGGTTTGAGTCTCTTCTTCCTGGAAAAGTGCTCTTGTCCCTCAGCGGGATAATCCATGGACCAGCGAAATGAATCTCTCAGTTTTGACAGGAAAATTTATTTTCCTCGGGCTACTCCTCGTTTTCAAAGGCTGGTAGCCGGTTGACTTGTCGGGACAAACAGCCGAATCGTCTCACCAGGCCTAATCGCAGCCTCGAAAGACAGGATCGAGATTCACCGTGAAATTATCGGAGCGTGACCACTTTCTGATACGCTGTCGCGCGAACCCACGCGGGCGCGGCACTAGTCTCGAGGAGAAGCCCTCGCTCAGATTCGGAGACTCTGATTGATGGATTGGCGGGGTACTCAAACGCTTGGTACGTACATAAATCTATCGATCGATGAAGAGAACGATCATCATGGGGTACTTGACAGGTCTCCCCTTAGGTTGTATCTAATTTCATCATCGAAATTGCGCGCCACGTGATTCGTGATAGTCACATGTCCGGAAGATTCGTGACGCGCCAACGTGAACGTTCATCTTCTGATGGGCTCTCAGCCCTCAGAGGTCTGTCTGAACAGAATTCGGAGTGCGAGAGATGGGAGACAAGCCGTCAATGGTGCAACAGCTGGTTGTTATCGTTTGTTCCTTGTGAAAGCTCCAGATTCTCGTCTCTTAGGGATATCCCGCAGGAAAGTCTGGCGAGCGTAGCCAGAAACTGAAATCTGCTCACTGAGCATTACCCAATGCAACAGGGATCAAATGAATGGATGCTAAGTGGCAAGAATCCACCCTGGGAACTTTCTGGAAAGTTTTACCCTCAAATCACTCGTCGGTCGAAATATCGAGGTAGACGTCTCATGTTTATGGACTTGATGCTAAACTCTCACACAATGACGCTCCTGGAGTCAACCGTTCTGCTTGGCTTGGAACTCAGATCTTTGGGTGCTCCGAGAGGTGATCCTTCCCGCAGGACGAGGACCTTCTCGATCGAAGCAGACTGAGCGTATACTGTTTATTGGACAGAGAAGCCGGGACTAACCTCTTCGATTTTTTCGGCGAACTGTCTCTCAAGCCTCCGACTCATTTTCTCCACTAAGTGATTGATCAGAAAGCCCATCGCGAGCCGGTCACGGCTCGCTGGTAGACCATGCCTCGCCAATACAAATTCGATTTCTTCTCGAATGTTGTCCATGGCAGAAATTTTCTCGTCGAGAGCACAATGGAGAAAACTTTGGGTCCCGCTTAGAGCGGCGTTCACAATGAACGGGTTGAATGCTCAACGAACGGACGAACGCTTCACGTCCGCACGCAACGTGCACCTTATACATCATATGCTTTTGCATGAAATGATCGAGGGAAAAAAGTGGGTCGAGAGAGGGTATACGCCTGAATTTCCGTCCCAGCTGATGGGAAGATTTCCCGAGACTGTGATGTCTCTTATCGCCGGAGTCGAGAAGGCGCGGCACCAGAAGCATCGGATCAGTAATGATTCACCGTCTTGAAGGTGCTGCCTGGAGGCGTCGTGATCGAGAATTCTTTGCCATAGTCTCGAGGCTTCAATTTCTTCATTCTTTTCGGGGGAAACAAGCCGTCAAAGGTTCTAAATTTGCCTCTGTGTGCGCTGTCATCGAGTACTGGTTATCGAAATTCCAAGGGACTCATCGTAAGAAGCGCTGGAGCATCTCGAAGCCGAATCAGATCATTCGGGAGCAGCCAACCCGCGGTGGAGACTCAATCAGTATGATCATGGATGCGACACCGATGTCCGAATCTTGTGCAACAACCCTGATGAAAAGAGGATTCCGAACGCCACAGAAAAAGACATCCCCTAATTTATCGAACGTCGAAACATTTTCGATGGGCACGGGGGAGGAGTATCGCTGGCCGAGCATAATTCGGAATGACGATTTCCCCATTCCGATATGGTATCAGTTTTCCAAGAAGGGAACGCTCTTGAGCGCACCAAGGTGGGAGCTCGATGCGTTTCCTCCGTTCTACAAATTGAATGGCCCAGGTATTCCTCCTCACGATCACCCTTCGGTCGAGGAGAGTATCGCGGAAACCTTGCTGGCGTTTCTAGGTTCTTACACTGATCGAGACGAAGCCGCGATCTACTGAGCGCGGGAGGGAGAGAACAAGGAAAACAAGATTGGGGAGGCTGAGTGCCACCGCCTGAGGCTGCTCGAAGTTCAGAGTAAACAGCGATGAGGCCGAGCAATCGCTAGAGCATATTGCGTATCCGACAAACGTAGGTCAGGGGTGGGGGTAGTTCACTCGCCTGGTGTAATTACAACTCCAGACATTGAGGGAGAGATCTGAACACATGTCGAACTTTGCAATACTGCCGTCTGAGGACGCCATATGGCACGAAAGTGGAAGTACATAAATGTCTAGATATCAATTGTCGGCTCGCGGGAGATCTTCATTCTACGCCGCTGCTTCGGAACCAAATCCATCAATCTATGTGCGCAAAAAAAAGAAGAAGAAGTGATGGAGGTCTACGTATTCCTCCGTCTCGGGAAAAACCTTCGTTCCCACTGGGAGGGGTCGGAGTTGCTCGATATCAATGCCGTCCCGCAGATTGTGCTCTGGTTTCATCGAGGTTCGAAGCCCGTGCGCAGAGCTCAGCCTTTCACGGGTATCCCTCACAGCGTGCTCGCGTCACGGGAGAGCGAAGATCCATGAGCAGGCCGGATGCGGCTGCTCTCAGAACGGAGTCGGACGCATGAAGGGGTCTCACATCCCCAAACCGCGGGCATCGTGAGTCAACTTCGACGCTCATGCCTGTTTACATGGACTTGGAGCGCTATCGTGTATTCCTCGATCCCTTCGCTACCTATTTGCGATGTCACCGACGCTTTCCCGTATCATCGAGCCCGTAGCTGGAGCGAGATTTGAAAGATTCCACGGGTCTACTCGAGGATTTCGCGACGATCGAGAGGTACTAGGAGGTGACGCAATGATCGATTTGCAGCCGCAGCGTGCCTCGTCCTTCAGGTGCAACGGAGCCAACTACCGGAGAATGCGATTCATGGTCCAAGATCTCCGAACAGGTGATTTCGCCGATCACATTCTTCATAAATAGATTCCGACCCTGGTCGTCGCCGGTACATCACGATGGTGATTCTAGGGTCGTCTTCCGTTAAGAGGATCTCATCTCACTACGGCGATGAGTCACTCGGAGTTGAGGCTGGGCTTTGTATCATTTTTCCCGGAACATTTCTCCATAGCGCCTTGAGCATAGGCCCCGATGAAATTCGTCTCATCATTCTGATTCGGACAATGTTTCCAAGGCACGCGATGGTCTTAAGCTGTGTGTATCTCGCGGCTCCAAAAGGCGGTATTAACGATATTACGCGAGACGATTGCGCTCCCGTAGTCTGGAGCTTGCTCCAGTCGTTCCAGTTGAGATTGTGCGCCGGGTTTTTCATCGCTCCTAGCTAAAGTGCGCTTTCCTGAAAAATCCTCCTTGAGTTGGAGACATCCAAGGAATCGGGATCGCTATCGAAGTTTTCACGGAGCTTATTCGAAGTTTGTCCTCCACACCGGTGCGGAAAATTGGGAACTTTTAATTTTTAACCGAAATGCGCGGTTCCGGTCTCCTCTATGGAAGTCAGGAGACACAGATCGTATCATTCGACATCTTTGAAGACGGCCCCAAGAAGATCCAAGACAAGCGCGGCGCCTTTCACTTGCGCGAAATCGGAGGTGACATACGGATTTATTTTTATTTTCCGCCACGGGGCGCAAGAGGCCTTTTCAGCTCGATATTCCGATGAGCTTCCTCTGGGAGATTGCCGGTCGTATGCACCCGAAATTCACGTTTCGGCGGAAAACTTCGAGACTCCGCCTCTCGGTGCATGAATTCGAGCTCCAGAGCTCCATTCAATCTTTCCGAGAGGTCACATTCAAGTATGTACCACGGGGACACTTCGTCGTGGCCTCTCCCGACTCGTATCGAATACAATGTCGCTCAAGAATCGGAGCTGAACTCACCTTCGCAGCGTGCCGTGTATAGAGAACCACGACGTCACGGCTCATGCAGGCGATTCGGAACCAGATCGTCAATTTCAAGATGCTAATAATAAGCGTTCACAACTTGGGTCGCTCGGAGAAACGGAAGCGATTGAGTGCAACCTTCCGACTTCGTGGACGTCCACCGTAGGAGCTCACCGACACGATAAAGCACCGCAATTGAGGAGGAACTCTCACAAAACACTTGTCGATAGTATCGAAGCTCAGGTGGACTGCGCGACAATGCTGCTTTCTATTATTATTGGCGCCTGGTATCCTAACGTAGAGATCATAACGTTCTGTCCACTTCGTTGCTTATTGTCTTCTTCCAACGCTGCTGTTCGCTCGACAGGCTAAAGAATTAGCGGACTCGCCTCGCTGCTGTCAAAAAGTGGAGAGCTTACTACCCGATAAAGCCATGGACGCTTCTCCACTTGTGACGCGGCGTGTTCTATCTTCGTGGTGTCTTTGACACTCGACGACTGTTGCGGAAGAGCTTTGAACACGTGCAAGAACGCTCTCTGTGACGTCAATTGACTGCCTTCGCCACACCTCTGGACTCGCGGTCCCAATCGCTCCTCGAGTTGAGCTCGAGCCGATGCCGCTGATCCTGGTGTCCTTGAGGGTATCCCCGATCGGCGCGGCACAACAACGACGCGGAGGTCGGCCCAGCGGGGACGATGTCGGGTCTCCTTGAGGCGCAATAAATTCACTGGGGGTGGCCGTCGCAGCGGTTCGACTCCAATGTCAGCGTTCCAGGATCATTGGGGAGCGTCCACGCGGATGGATCAGCAGAGCAAATGTATTCGGATCGATCAGGGCCGCTGCGTGAGTACTTTGCCGCCAGCCAGGATCGAACGCTAGCCGCGCAAGCCCTGGTGAAAACTCTAACGGGAATACCGGGCGAAAGCCCCTCCCCTGCGGACCCCTGTCGGACATCCTCATGGGAATCGCGCCCCTTCAAGGGAAGGAAGAAGAATTTCGCATATAGAATTTTTAGCGCGCTAACCACTCGACCATTTAGCGGTATCCATTGGAGGGCACGAAGCAGTCTAAACCTGTCGGAGGCGGTTGGAGGCATCGCCCGAATGCCGTGTACCGTATGCGAGCGCAGCCATCTCGGCTCGCTGGCGGCCAGCGCTTGTTCGATGCCGGACAGTCGATAAACGACTTCTCCTTTTGCGACGTCTGGGAGCCAACGGACACCGGTCACAGCGGGCCAAATAGGCGGGAAGAAATCGAAACTTTGTAACGCTTCATAGTGTCGGATAGCGGAACATGAGCGTTTCAACTCCAGACTGTCCCCCTGGGGGAATGGGGAGAGCGACAGTCAGAGTTCATGCTTTGGAAGTATGTCGGATCGGCCATCCCCCTCTAGTCGTATGGAGCTCGCAAGAAAGAGCCTCTGAGCAGGCCTGGGATGGTGCGGACTGTGTATCGAACTTGTAGTGAATTTGATCTTCGACCCGGTCCCGGACCGAATGATTGATTTTCGAAAGTCTCGAATCGAGCGTGTAACTTGGTAGACAATTCACATGGCAAGCCATGGAGAACTTGATCATCCCTACGGTGTAGTGTTTCCTCACTGGAATCGACCCAAGTCAGCTGCCAAATTGGATCACTTCCCATTGCGGAAACGATCGGAACGAGACTCGAATATGCGGGCTACCGTAGAAAATTATTTCGTCCCCTCCAAAAACCGCTATTTGGCCCTCTGTACGGCGACACGCGAAGCAGGTGCAAGAAATATTGTCGGATCCCGTCCAACGGGATGAGTTCCGTTGCATGAACAAGCTTCAAGATGTTTTCCGCATGAAAGTACGGACGCCCATGAAACGAATCACGCTGATTGTTGCTGCGCGAAGGAAGGTTCCTCTATCGGCGCTTCCCTCTCGGCTCAGGTGAAATGTTCCGCTTTGCGGTCGATTTGGCAAAGTCATCGTCATACGGGATTAGATTCGCAGGTTGAGCTTTCAATAAGTTTTCCCCTTCCGATATGCTCCAGAGTTGAGAGCCACATGGGTGAGCGTATGGCTTATCCAGGCTGCGGAATGAACGATTATCAGATTGTTCAATGGTGATCAAATAGGAGAATGCCGGCGATCAAGTCCCGACGGTCATTTGAGGGCGGGATTTATGGCGTTCACTGAGATGAAAATTCCATTATGCCGCAATAAGACGCTTTCCGTTCCAAGACTCTGGATATGGTATTTATCCATTCTCAGGGAGCGAGATGCGAAAGTCCTCGTTCCATTTTCAAATCGGCGAAGGGAGCGTCGGGGGTCGCCTGACCGCCTCAGTCGCGTTGTCCCCGAAGCGTCAGCTGGGCTCAGCGATGCCGGCGGCCTTTATAATGGAAGCAGAAGTTCTGCAGTAAGCGGCACGAAAACTCGAACTGTTTCTCGGATTATGCCCGTGAAGTCCTCGCTGTCAATCTTCACTCGGGGAACTCTGATGTGGGTTCTCGCTGCTCCTCGCGGAATCCAGGCTGTCCCAGACCCCAGAGCTTTTCACGCAATGTGATTTCGTTGTTGCAACGGAGAGAAGGAAAAACAATTTCGCGGGTCAGAAAGTGCGCTGGAGATTTCAAGACGAAGGCCGCAGTTTTAATCTCTCCACCGCTCTTGCTGATGGTTCTGGGTGAGGCGCATGAGTGGTCTCATTATGGACGCTTTTGAAGAGAAGATGAAAGGAACTTCCCTGAGACGCCAGGTGTCGCAGTCAAGAACAAACAAAGGCTGACTTACGTCGTGAACGCTGCACATCGACCAATGGAGAATTTTCATGCTGAATCGAGATCAGAGAAGATGTTTTGAGCCATTCCGCGCATTCATCAGCCGCGTATTACATTTCTGACAGAAACTAAAGCGAGGGAGGTATCGGTACCCTCTGGAGACTCGAGAAAGACTCGACATGCGTCGCTCTTTTCCGCCCATTGGCAGACGAGAGACCAACGATCGCTGCGGGTCACCAAGGTTATTGGAATAGGGGATTTTCAAACCACGAACCCATAAGCTGGCACCCCTGACTTTCAAAAGACCCATGCCGAGACAGGTTCGTTCCGATTTTTTTTATTTTATAACAGCATAATTTATTTTCGAGAACTCTTATATTTTACAGCTTTCTGAAATAACATAAATCGATCTGACACTGGGTGGAATCTCGTCAGACTCCGTTCACAGCAACAACACATCCATTCACACGAAATCGAGTGTGTCTTGGCTCATTCTAAGCCAAGAGTTTCGTCTGGGGATGGCTAAAGTCTACAATGCGAGGCTGTCGAAAAATCCCATGACGGAATAGCGTCGAGTCGATTTAGACGGAAACTTCCACTGGATCGCTCGGATTTGCTACAATCCCCTCCAGGCTTGACTCCCAGAATTTTCGTTCGGAAACGTATTGAATTCCCCCACTCACGGCCTCAACTCGGCCGCCGGAGCTGAATCGGAAAAGGGGACTCCGCGGGGGGTCGCGGTCATTCCTATATGTCCGACATCGATGACGTCCTTCCGGTAATCATCATGAGTCGATGGATCTCTTCAACAATCCCGAAACTGATATCTGAATGAACGAGAACTGTTTTCTCAGGGATTCTTTGCCGTAAGTCAGTGACATTCCTCGCTTCATTCAGGGATTCTCAAGCTGTCCCCTGAAGCCGCGATCGATGCGGGGGAGGATACGAGGCGAAATCACCGCAATTCCGCAGCAAGTATAGGCTGCGAACACAAGCGCAGGAGAGGAATACGAGATTTAAATTGAGATGCTTGCTCGCGAATCGTGTGGCATGTGGGGTGATACAAGGAATCTCGATTTTTGCGTGGTGTTACTCGAGAAGTATGGACTCTGAGACGAGATGCTTTGGAGTGCTCTCTGTGGTGAGTCGACGGGGATTCTGAGGATCGATCAGCTATATCATAGATTGTGGCGGTAGGGTAGCCATCAGCGGTGCTTGTCGCCCGTCGAATGTGCAGCCAAGGTCTGCCATCTCACTGCCCCCGGAACGAATGCACTTCTGAGCAGGGTCCGAGACAAGAGAAGATCAGACCCCGGGAAGCTCCTCACGGGACCAATTAATCCTTTGATCGAATACCTCCAGACTTTTCGTCCAATCTCACGAACCCCATGACGCCGGAAAGATGGTCTGTCATCACGCAATGTCTCTTATAAACGAAGACCTCCTCGTGGAGGCTATTGACGCACGGCGCCGCGTCTCTCGCCCTCCACGGCGGGAGCTCATTTGCGTCCGACGCCCTCACAGCGAGATTGTTTGTCCCACACAATCTAGAATCTGGAGAGTTTCTGATTACTCTGGGAAGAACCTCTCCAGATTGTGTCTCGTAAGCCAGCGGCCGGGTGTTGCGCCGCAAAATTTTCAAGGGGCCGATTGGAACAACTGGGATGAGCCGAAAGGATTGGAGCGTTCTTCGCGGGTTGGAGGGGAACGAATGTACACCTAGTCGTTGATTCGGAATCTGCGGAGCCCCATCCCACTCGCGATCTTTTCCAACGACATTGAGCTGATCCGTCGACGCTGTTAAGCGCCTGGCGGGCGCCGCTGAAGAGGAGTCTCCGTCAACGGGGATGAAACGAGAAGAGAAGCTCCCTCATCATTTCCCCTATCAAGGCATTTCAATAATACATATAACGAGCAGGGCTGAGACCCCCCCGGTCTGAGTTCTGCCCCCTCTGTGAAATATCTGACGATAGCTCTTGGCAGAGAGTTTCATCTTCAAGATATCTGCTCTTCTTCGAAACAATGTCCGACAACGAAATGCACCAGATTGATGCCGATTACGATGTAATTCATCGTCAGATCAGATCGCTAATCAGCTCAATCAAAGCCGATAGCTAGTCCTTAAATCTGTTGGGCGACGCGACTTTTGCGTGGGATAAAAACATTTCGTCAGTCCGTTCACACTATTCGGAGCGATTTGTTGGCAGTTTCCAGAAGAGAGTTCTCATGGAAGAAAAAGCTCTCCATTTTCTCATGTCGTACCCCCGAGAATTATTCATCGCGATTTTTGCTCTCCGAGGCCGCTTAGAGTATATACATATGGAAGAAATCGGGGATCCGCGGTTGGGACACAGGGAATCTTGCTCCAGCTTCCGAGACTTCCTCCGCGTAGCTCCGAAAGCTTGTCCCGTCGGACGTGACAACAGTACCTCAAAATTGGGTACGTTCTCCTTCGCCGGCTTCCAGAACACGCGAATTCTTTATGCTCAATGAATATCCAGGCGGAGACAGTGAGACATGACGAATGAGAGGTTCTTCCGTCGTACGTTTACGCTTCAATCATGAGCAGAGACCTCTGAGTGAGCGGGCTTCACTCAGGAGGTCATTCAAGGTTTAGGGATCCTCCCAATATCCGTAATCGTCGTACCGAGTATCATATAGAGTGTATCATATTTCGTCCTTTGACCCTTTTTTCTCGAATTGTATTCTCGGCATCTGGTTCCCAGGGGTTCCCGCATTCGAGGATCATATACCCCGGCATTTCTCCTCTTTCCGCCGCTCATCGAAGACATCGCTCCGATGTTCTCGGGGCGAGTCCTGTCTGCCCTGATTGCAAGTCGGCAAACATACCGCCCTGGCATTCGCTAGATCCTAGATGACCGATGGCAATTGAATAAGCGTCGTGGGTCCAATATGCTCTATGCTCGATATTTCTATCAATCATTCACATGAACATGAGTATTCCTCGCATGCATCCATGCTTGGTTTCGGCTCGCTTGGATCAATATCGATCAATCCGGAGCTCAAAGCATGAATCATAATGGCAGCGATATTTCCAGTCCAATCTGGCGTCGTAATTTATGCGCGACGGATATAGTCCAACGCTCACTCTGAAAGAAACCTCAAGATCCGTCTACCTACGAAGCGATCGAGTTTATTACAATCGGTTAATCGAGCTGCAGCAAGGTCAACCTTGACGACGAAGCGAACAAAATCTTCCAATGATTGTTTACAATAAATTACAGCAAATTATAATTCTGCGTCTTCCTCCCCTCTGCTCTGGTTTTTCTGTACTTTTGAAGCGGTGAGCTGTATCTGTCTCGGGCTTCATGACAGCTCCCGTCTGTTTGAGCGCGGCTGCCCGCTTCCGGGGAATGGATCTGGTTTTGATATCCGAAGGCTCCAAGCATTTTTTCTTGGTGCGCGGGATCGGTATCACGGGCGACTGTCGAACCTCGTCGCTGTGAGACGCGCTGATTGTTATCGTCACGAAATCAATCAAAGAATCATCGTGGACATCAGGAGGTCCTCGGGGGAAAGCATGGTCTTCGAGATTCCGATCTGATCTGATCTCGCATGTATCCGCCGTGAGAACGTCCGGCGGAAGTGAGGCGGTTGGTGAGACTGCGGCTGAGAGTAAGTCGTCATCGCTTTCCATGGCTGTCTGTGGAGTCGCTGTCACGGATTGTTTCAATATAGGGCCACGCCACGATGCACAACGTTATTTTCGTCAGATGATACTCCAGACTGAATTTTCCATATCACTAGATATAAATCGTGGGGTTTGAAACTGACATGGAACAGTTGTTCCCCGGGAATCCATGTAGAGATGTCCCCGCATGAGAGGAGCCATGTCATCTGAATACTGTTTTCGAGTCGCGACGAAGAGCAGAAACCTACGGTTCTGTTATCGGGGACTCCTGAAATGTGCTGTGTACTCCCGCATATTTATCATGCGCGTCTGAAGATTTCGTGGAGTAATGGCTCGGATTTTGAATGAAGTGGGAAAGGAGCGAAATTTTATTCCTCAAAACATAACAGGTGAGATCATTGTAGACCCAGGCTCCTCCGATGCATCCCGGAGGAATGAGCCCCGGTCGCGGCTCTCGTCGAGGGCACCGACGAAGCAGTACAGACTAGGATGAATGTCGGCTTCATGCATCTAACAATAAGGCTAAGAACATGAATAAGAACAGCCTCATTCTCTCCAGCGATAGTTGAGCGGAGAATGATCCGACTGAGCAGCGGAAGACACAAACAGACGAGTGGATAGAGAGATTCGATGATGCACTCAAAGCCGGATGAATCGGCGGTCCATTCCGCATTCTCAATTCACTGCCTTGATGGAGCGCTATGAGATTCGGATACGAATGCGAGGCAGCTGGAGCATCGCTTCGAACAGCTCCGAATCGCTTCACGCTCGGGGCCGGAGACAGTTGACGGAGGGTTCGACCATTTCGAACAGACCGGCGAGATTACCGTTCCGCGTGGCCAGCGAGAAGGCCAGATCTCCGGCTTTGTTCTTCTTGTCCGTGTCGAGACCGCTCTGCCACAGTAGGAGCTCCAATGTTTCTCGTCCCTCCCTGGAAGAATTCAAAATGATTACCCGGGAACGAGGGGCGATCCTCGATGGAATCGTTCAGAACATCTCTACGGATATGACACGACACGTAGAGAGTGCAACCTGCTTCTCCCGCCGAGGAATCATGAAGTCGATGTGTATCGACATCATTCATAACTCATAATTCGACCTCTAGGGACGATATTCCATCGGCTGACCCACCTGTTGGACGCCGCCAAATGCAACGCGGTCTGATCTCCGTTGGTGCGAGCATTGAAGTTCGCGCCGGCCGCGATGAGAATCGCTGCACTCTGGACATTATCCCATCGGGCGGCGCAATGTAGCGGAGTCCAGCCGTCGGCGGTGCGAGCTTCGATGTCGGCTTTCTTTTCCAAGAGAAGCTGGAATCAACGTGGATCCCGCCGTTAATTAGGGGTTTGTCAACTTGAAGTCAGAGACATAAACAGAGCTAGACGATTCAATTTAGATCACGGACCTTGATGACTTCGATGTTGTCGCTGTACGAAGCTCTATGGAGCGGAGTGTAGCTGTCAGAGTCCCGAGCATGGACAAGGCTGGCATCGGAAGCTACAAGTTCTTGAAGCAACTCGAGCTCGTTCTTCTCGGCGGCCCATAGAGCTTTCTCTTTCGGGTTGTTGTTTCCTGGGCAAAGGGGAAGCTTGATCGATCCATATATCTTCTCCCAGACGCGGTAAGAATTTTCGAGAACCCGCTGATCCGGGGAAATCAAACTCACTCATGACTTCCCGGTCGTTCTCATAGGAGTCTTCCGAGGTCCACATTTTGCCCTTTTTCATGCGTTGCGCGAAGCGACCCTCGCGAAGCTCGGGAACTTCATCTTCCTCTCCGACCGCTGACCCTGATGGAGAAGCGGAATATTTTCTAATTCATCCCAAACCGACCCATTGTGCTTAGCGCATAGCCTAATTTATGGCTTCATGATATCCTTTTCACCTTTCCGAGCAGCATGGCTCTCCTCGACATCGCGCTGGAGGAATCCATCGCTTGTCTCCATCATCGCAGGGCTCTCAGCAGGCTTCTCTCCCTGGAAGAAGTATCAGACTGATAGAGAACCTCGAACGTCACGTAATGTCCGATCTCTATGCTCCTCGCATGCGCATAAGTCGCGCTGAATGGCGAATGATACAGATATCGGAGAGTGCGGCGGCAGGGAGGAGGAGAAGGATGAAATTGTCGTAAGAAAGTCCGATCTCGATTCCTTGTATCGGAGGACCTCCGCTTACCTTTTTGTCTTCTCGGAAGCTCATGACTCCGACACGATATTGAACTCCTTGCCTTATCGAGATGATCTTCTCGGCGAATTGCACTCGGGGGTCGTCACCATAACAACAACGTAACTGCTTCCTTCTCCTCTTGCGCGTAGCCTGCGTGCACTGTCAATCGACTGTTCTCCTCCAACGACGACTCCCAGTATCTTTCTCAGAATCAGATTATTCGACAGGATCTAGCGCAGCTGATCCTTAGGTGGTCTCTGGCTCTAATCGGCTCGAATCGGCTCTACTCGGCGAGCTGATGTTCGCTAAGAGATGCGCTTGCGACTGAATCAACCTGACGATTTCTCCGCAATCGCTCTGAGCGAGACGGGATTTCGAATAAACCTCCGCGTTCTCGCTCCTTTCTCTCCACTACGCTCGCCGCCTGATACCCCTCGATCGACACACTCTCCTTCGCGGCTCTATATGGGACGGAGAGGGTACCACACAGGCCTCGATTCTCCCACCGTTTCGGAACGGACACCGCGAGCAAAGAGGGTGAGTATAACTCGATGGACGTCATGTGATCGTAGAGAGACTGAAGTCCCGTGACAGTGAGCCAGCAGCCGCCTGACTGCGAAACTCGTCGAGTGCGCATTCGGAGCTCAGCAGTTTGTTTCGTATAGGTGCCCAGAAAGGTAATGAAGGTAGCGAATGAGTAGCCTCCAGGCCTCGTCGCTTTCATGAGGATCGCTGAGGGATCCTCTTATCAATCTCCATCCGTGAGCGAGCCTGAATCAAATATTTACCGTCGCTCCGATTCGAGTCGTTCCAATAAGTTCTCGACCGTCCCTCCCCTCCTCAAATCTGCATGAATCGAGCTCAAGCTCTCCTCCGTCTCCGCATCGTGATCCCGTTACTCCTGTCAGCAAGCCCGGATTTAGAATCACGACGTCTCAGGTCGCAGAGCCCGAATCTGTTTGTCATCAGGGGATTTCAGCTGGCTACATCGTCCCTCCGTTTGCAGGAAACAAAATGAGTGGTCGAGACAGAATCGCGATTTTCCCGTCCCGTATGGCGCTGACGACCATGAAAGCTCGACTGAAGGGAGCTCAGAAGGGACACTCGCTCTTGAAGAAGAAGGCGGATGCGTTGCAGATGAGGTTTGTCTACGATAGTGGTCCCATGACGGCCAAGAGTGCAGCGCCTCCGACATTGGGGGAGGTTTTCTCGCTTTTCGAAAAAATATTCCCGTGCCTGTTCGAACCTCATGGTCTGTGATAGCTGAATTTCATGATTCGGATCCGACCACATAATGACTCCGGTAGGACTTCTAGTTCTATGATTCGAATCAATTTGACCGATCCTCGTCGCTAGGTTCCGTTCCATCCTCAAGAAAATTGTTGACACCAAGGAGTTGATGGGTGAAGTGATGAAAGATGCGGCTTTCTCGCTCACCGAAGCCAAGTTCGTCACGGGAGAGTTCAAGCAGGAAGTCCTGCAGAAGGTCACAAAAGCTCAATGCAAAGTCCGGGACCGGAAGGACAATGTTGCTGGAGTAAACATCCCCATCTTCGAGCTGTATCAGGACGGCAAGGACGCTAATGAACACATTGGCCTTGGTCGAGGTGGTCAGAAACTGACTTCGATGAAACAATATTACTCGAAGGTAAGTTTCATTCGCATCGCAGTGATGAGTAATGGGCGCGAGGAATAATTCTGAAATTTCCCTCCCGAAGCAGAGCTGCTCTTGACGATCCCCACTGTTATATTTCAGGCCATCGAGCTCTTGGTGAACCTTGCGTCGTTGCAGACCTCCTTCATCGTTCTCGATGAAGCGATCAAAATCACTAATCGTCGAGTCAATGCGATTGAGCACGTCATCATTCCGAAGTAATTATAGGCGGCATTTCCCCGCTTGAATATCAGAAAATCGAACTGAGCTCACTCACATTAGCCCTTAAGATCACCTGGAGCCTAAAGGTACCGTTCGTTGCAGACTCGAGCGAACGATCGCCTACATAAACTCGGAGCTCGACGAGAGAGAGCGAGAGGAATTCTTCCGTCTCAAAAAAATTCAGGTGAGTTGCGGTGTCGGTTGCGCCGCGTTCCTCTGATCCTGGAGACGTGAACGCTGACGCGTTTTTCCTGTGTTCCTCCACCGACAACTTCGAATATCAACTGAGTTTCCCTCTTTGTATTTCCGGAAACAGGAAAAGAAGAAACAGGCGAGAGAGAGGCACGAGGCTAACATCGCAGACCTTAAGGCGAAAGGAGTCATATCGGACAACGTTCCTAATATGTTGGAGGACGAGCACGACCAGGATCTCCTGTTCTGAGTAGTTGCTTCTAGCTACCGGTTTTAGATTCCACCTATTGACGCTGCAAGTCTGTACGGCGAAGTTGGTCACGAGTTCTGGCGCAGGTGCAATGAATGTGTCTGGAGTATCGGATCCGATAGATGTGATCGCCGGTTTGTTTTGGTTGCTCGCCCGGGCTCCGATTGTTCGAAAGTGGATTCGATGTTCCCCTCGCACATCGCGCACGTCAGGGATTCGGTCGACCCTAGCAAGTTGAATTTGGGCATGAATGTGTTAGAGTATTCTGCTGCGATTCCGGACAACTCAAAATATATCCTTCGGATGCCGAGTCTGTTGAGTTGACCCCAGATACCATAATGTGATGTGACTCATTATATGTTACGATGAATAAAATCTCCATTCAGCGCATGAATGAGCGTTTCGTTTATTCGACTCTCGCAGCCGGACCCGTCCACCAGGGAGCGTGAAGGCGGAGACCTTCAAACAACCGCGACTCGACCTCGAGAAGGGTTCTCTCGTTCGCCTCTCTCATGGAGGGGTCCGAGGGCGCCGTGTAGAAAACTTTACGAAGACCTTCCGCCTAAATGATGAATCAGCCACCTTCCTTGGCTTGATTAGATTTATAGAACCACGATCGACAATAAGCACGGATATTCCGCGGAGAAATGTACATGGTCAGCGTCTTGCCTGAAGGTGTCAGAATGTCGGACGCGTTGTCCAGAGACTGCTGCCACCGGCTTACCGGCTCACTCCTGGATGCCACAAGAGGGGAAGGCTATCGTCACTCGAATGGGGACGGGGTCTCCGACCCGTGCGCTCACGGCATCGTTGGACAGGGCTACGGTGTAGTGACGGCTCATATCGTGTGGTGCGATCGATTTCAGACGCGAATTCTCAGAACATTTTCTTCTTCGCTGCAGTGAAACGTCCCTGATATTTCTCCCATCCGTCAACTTGATGGAGCTCTCTCTCCTCAAACAAATTGCCCTCTACAGAGAAGGAGTGGATGGTCGAATCCGACAGTAGACATGACGGTATCCCGTCTAGAGTCAGACAGTTTTCCTGCACTCGAAGGATCTGAGGGAAATTTTCAATTTAGAATCGCGGTAGAGGAGATGTCTCTGGGAATTCCCCCATTGCATGGTGGCGAAACCCACCTTCAATCGAGGACATTTTGCCAAATTCGAGGGCAAGACGGCGAGTTGATTCACATTCAGCACCAGCTCTGAACAATTGAGATTTGCTATTGCGGGCGTGTCCGCCATCTCCGCAATCTTGTTCGAGCTCAGATCCAGGGCTTCCAGAGCAGGAAGTTTCGTGAGCTGCTCCGGGAATTTCTTCAGATTGTTCTCGCTGATGTTCAGAGATTTCAGCGCAGCGAGTTGACCGAAACCCAGCGGCAAATTCTATGAAATTTGAAGTTAGAAATTAGAGCGGATGAACACGACACGAACTTGATGATTTGAATTGGTACTTCTCAATACGAGTTCTGACTCCTGCGACGTACATGGAGTTGATTTCCGGACAAATTGAGGGTTTCTAACTTCACCAGTTGGCAGAAAGCATCCGGCAGTTTCACAATTTTGTTGTTGGAAAGAACCAAAATCTGTAAGACAAGAAGGTACGAGTTGATTCCCTCGGCTCCTCATTCAGAATCTTCATGTCGGGGGTGTATTCCTTCGCTGTACTTTTCATTGTTCCGGATGACGCACCTTGAGCTTGGTGAGTTGTCCAATGCAGTCAGGTATATGTTTGATCTTGTTCTTAGACAAGTCCAACGAGCGCAATTTGTCCGCAGCACACTGAGTGGAGGAGTGCTTATTGTGATCGCATTCTAGTCAATATTGGCTCATTTCACTAGCACAGGAAACGTCTGGAAGCGAAGTCTGTAGAGGTTGAGTCTCCTCACCTGTAGCTCGAGAGGATATTCCTTGAGACGACATTCCGAAAGGGAACAGAGACCGGTTTTCTCTGCATGCTCGAGACGCGGTTTGAGTGTGTTCCCCATCCCGTCTCCAGCACCAGGGGCGCTTTTCTTTCGTTGCGTAGATCTATTTTCCGGTCTTTTACCGCCCATCACCGCAGGGGCGGGGATCCATGGAGACTCTCCTCAGACTGAAAATTAGACACAAGAATTCTTTTGAGGACTGGGTGTGTCACTATGCTACGACGAGACTCTTCATGTATCCTTACGATTAAAAAAGTATCCTAAGCGCGACTGAATCGGCGAATGAGAGTTCTATGACATCGGCCACGATTGACCAGCCTCCCCCGAAGACAAGGCCAGCGGAGTTCTCTCGAGACCGCTTTGGGGCTTCCTGAGAGTCCCGAAAAGTCCTTGCCAGAAATCGGCCCGGAAACCCTCCCGGTCTTTCCTTGTGTTCCGGAAAACAGGAAGATTGCACCAAAATCGGGCTCCGAACCACACCCTGGAGAATTGGCTCGCAATTCAATTAAAAAGGACGTTGATATAATTTCGGAGCGGATGTCTCCGATCGAATCCGATCCCTTCGGTAACCGGTATCACCGCGAGAGGATCGGCGGTCCGCACCCGAACAAGTGTCATGGGCAGGGAGAGCGGACCCAAGGAATAATAAGAGTCGGAGGCGATCCCAGTAAGATCGCTATATCAGACGGATATGGCGCGGGTGCGATCAGGCGGATTCATTTACCTGATGCAGTTCTCTCGATTTTTCGAGATCCGAGGTCTCCTGAGGTCTGTTTATTTCGTATCTCCCGTCAGCCCCAGCCTCTCAGCCGATTAGCTCTAAACGGCGGAACTACGGCCCGACGACTCCGCGGGGGCTCTTTCACGAGGCATTGAGGCATTTAAAAATGCTTCCCGAGGGAACGGGCTTCCAGCTCTCGGGGCATGCTCAGGAGGACCATTCCTGGCGGAGATCTGACAGAGTGGATATCCGTTCCAGAGGATGTCCGCTCACAGAGTCTCCGCATCAATGACGCGAATTTCCGCGCTCCTCAAAGGCTAAGAGTCATGCGAGAGAAGCGCTTCTCAAGTGTCCCGATCGCGAAATCATCATGATATAGATCATTTTCGAAGTATTTTCCTGACCTTCTCGGGAACCACGGAGATCTAGCAGACAATCTTCGAACCTCAAAGCGAATATTCCGAAAGCCCTGATCCGAAGCTACTATCGGTCTCTTTGTATGGGCAACGCAGCTCACCGTTATGCATGCTATTTGCCCAGATAATCGTGGACGGTCCATTATAATAATCGATGGGGGGTGAGTTTTCCGTCAAATCGGGGAGAGTCTTCCTAGGGCACCCGAGTTCGTCCTGAAAGTCGATGCTCGGCGCGGGCGGGTCGCCCCTCTTCCACCTCCGAGAGCCGTCCACCGCGGGGGTCCTGATTCTAGTGTTGGAACGGTAGATGAAGAGATGAATCCTATCCGGTCCTGATTTCCAGTCGACGGCAGAATGGGAATTTCGCCTCGGTCGCACCCCGAAGTCGGCAGGCACTTGACTTCTCTTCCCAGTCAAAAGCAAAGAGCGTGTCCGGAGGTCCGAAGAAGTATCGCGGGCGTGCGACCTCTGTGGGAGCAAGACAAGATTGCGATGTTCCATGAGCCGCAGTATGATAGTGGAGTTGTAAAGTTCTGGGCGGCATACCCGTAATAGACCTTTTTCTTCGCTGATCACAGACTTTTCGAGGCGAGAAATGTTTAAAAACTCTTCTTCGAGCCGAGAATCGAAGCCAATGGAAAATCTGACGGGCAGACATCCACTATGGCGAACGCATTCCCACTATTACGGGGTTGAACCGTTGGGAATGAAAACACAAGACTCGAACTTGTAGAGATCACGCGATCCTCGAGTGCACGCTTGGATGGGGATGCGATCCTTCAGGCTGGCAACCAGCCGGGGGGATTCCGCATCGAGTCAGAGCTGACTGAGGGATTTCTGTCTCTGTGGGACTTCATTGAGGTTTGAGATCCTCGGATACTCGAACATTCGCCGCGATTCCTCGATATCAATACCTTCCGGATCACCAGTGAAGTCACCTCGCGACCTGGTAACGCTCTTCAGCACTCCGGCAACAAGAATACTCCCGCAATTCGCCCCGGAGCTCACAGAGTGGAGAGATACAAGGAATCCTCCGCGGTGATCGCGAGTTCCATTCTCGCTTGCACAGCCGCGCTAGCCTGCTCGAATCTCCGGAGGAATCCCAGACTTCATGCTCTTAGGGCTCGGGTGGATACTACTCTCGGCAGCAGCACCAAGCCACAACTGTTTTATTTATTTGTGATATTGTAGCGGAGCTCGATGGAAATCACGGTCGAGAAGCGACCCTGAAAGCTTCGCCAGCCTCTCAGCTGGAATCCTAAGTCGTAGACTAGTACCCAGCCCCGTATCAGGAGCGAATCTGGTCCCTGAAATGGTCTATGGTACTCAGTGGCGTACGCAGGATTTTTCTTGGGGGGGGGGGCTAGATCGGGTCTCCGCATGGGGCTGAAATCCAATATGGCGATTCGCTCCT